TGTAGCTCCGCCAAAAGGCAACCTAACGCGCGCATGCGTCGTCGTGCGATGCAGAAGGCGGAATAATGCTCGATAGAACAATGCCGCGGAGCCGTGCGGCGAATCGCGTGAAATCTTTCCGTTTCGAAATCTTCGACTCGATGACGATCACTTCAGTCTCGTAAAACGACGTGCGAAGAATCAAAAGAAATCTCTATCTCTTTCACTTTATATCTCTCTTCATTCTCACGTCAATCTGAATTCTTATTCAAGGTCGCGCTCGGCGCTAGCGCTCGATTTATCGGAATTTGGACCGTTCGATGAATCGCGCGCGTGAAAAATCGCACGAATCTCAGCCGCCTTCACGGCTCTCCACATGCAATAACGATCATTTTACCTTACGGCCGTGCCGCATGGTCGAGGTCGGACGACACCGGGGGGGCTGCAGGGGATTCGCACGGCGCTCATACCATTAACTCGTGCGGCCTCGTGCGCCTTCCGCGACAAATTTCGCGTTTTTACTGTTTTTAGCGCGAGAGCCGGAGGAGGCGCGCGAACGCGCGCGCGCGCGCGCGGACGCACGCACGCAGCGAGGAGGCAAAGGGTCGCGTCGCGCGCAGCCACCATCGTGGCGGGGCGACGGGGCTCGGAGAGGGTTGCACGGGGGTTGCATCGCGCTCCGCCGCCGCCGAAGAGGAGAAAGGTGGGAATCGGCAGCGGGTGTCGAGCGGTGTGCGCGGAGTGTTGCCTACGTGCGGGGAGCACGACACTCGCCGTCTCTTTCTCTCTCTCTCACTCTCTTTCTATCTTTCTCTCTTTCTCTCTCTCTCTCTTTCTTTTTCTCACTCCCTTTCTCTCTCTCTCCCCTTTTTTTCCCCTCGTTCTCGCACAATTTCTCTCCCCCATTTTTACCGATGTTCCGTTCGAGATTTGTGTGTGTTCCTTTATGAAGGCTCGTTATTGCCGCGCCAGGCCGCGCCGTACGATCGTCCCGCAAGCGGCGCGCACTTATGCCCGCGTCCGACCCGCGGCCGGCCGATAATGCCCGTTATCGTCGCCGCGCGACGAGTTACGTGACCCGCGACACGCCGCGCGTTACGGGAGTCTACGTCCGCGGGCACGGCGACGGGCACCGGCGACCGAGTAGCACTACCGGTCCCCGTGACGTTGCGCCGACGACGACGACACGACCGTGGGGTGACGGCCGATGATGATGGATCGTAACGCGAAACTGTAGCCCCCCCTGCCCGCGCAGTTCGCGAGATCGTCGCAATCACACCGGGGCATCCTCGATATATTATACCCTCCCCGGCATTGGCGGCACGACGGCTGAGGCTCGGCAGTGGATCGCGGGGGATCGTGTCCACGTATCCTCTCTCTCCAGCTTCATATCGTTGACCATACTCAGCCCGCGTCTCTCGCGAGACGTTTCGATCTGATCCGCGGAGATCCGCAGAATCGGAGGAACCGCGAAGGAACCGCTTGAGGTGTCACTCCCCTCCCGCTGTCCCCCTGCCACTGAACGAGAGCGCGCGGATTGTGCCGACCGCGCTGAAGCGCGAGAAACTCTCTGTGAAGTTTAACGCCGTTCAAAAGTGGTGCCTAAAAGCGTGATTTGATAACCGACGACCCGGGGGAGGGGGGAGGAAGAGAGAAAATTTAATCAGTGCCTATATATCATGCATCGTACGTGCAACTGCAATCGCGAGATTGATTCGAATCGACTCGATCGATCTTAAGCCTGTACATATACGCGCATTTTGGAATAAGTACGATTGCGATGCACGTTCTTCGCCACGCGCCGAAGATCGCACTGTCCAAGTGTCGAAGCGAAGGGAACGGGCGCGGAACGAGCGGCGGCGAGACGGCGGAGGAGACCGCTCGGTAAAAAGCGCGCACACCAGGAGAGGTCTCGAGGTATCTCTCGATAAGGCACATCTCGGGTCATGATCGCCGCATTAGGAGTCAAGTAACGCGTGTACCGTGCCCGCGCCGTGATATCGGCCTGCTCCCTCCGTGCGTCCTCCCTCCCTTCCTCCCTTGGAGAGCGTCTCTCCGATTCGGACTCTGAAAAAACGTTCCACGAGCAGCGGCGCGTCAGCGATGTCGCGATTAATGCTGTGTAACCTTGGCAATACCTCGGCGGCGGGAAATGACACGAACAACAACGCGAACACGAACAGCAGTATGGAGGACGACGATTCTTATCCACTGCCTACGATTTATCGGTACGTATGTTAACGGCGAACGCCGTCGGAGTATATAGTCGGAGTCCACGACTCCGCGCTCGTCGCCGAATGTCGCGTCCAGCCGCGAATCGCGGGGCAGAGGCTGGTTCGCGACAGGAACAAAAAAGCAAATCATGGGTCTGCAGGGGGGGGTCGATTGTTGTAGCTTGGAGGTGAAATCTATGAGAGCGAACAGATTTCGACGAATGAAATTGTAGATACTATAACGGGTTTCCTCACTGTTGTAATTTTCACCTCGTTTCCAGATACACAATCGACCCCCTGCTGATTGCTGAACGAACGATGTTACGGCGATGTGGGATACCTGCAAAATATCGTGCGGGTTTCGATTAAAGTTGCCCTACCCGAAGAATCCTCTCTCTTAATTCTGCGCGGCACACGCGAGAAACGAATAATTTCAATAATGATTTTTTTATTCTCGACCCAACTGGTCATGTTTGTTAATTATAATCGTCACGACGCGACGTTTTTCGAACCATATGGGTCTTGGCCTTTCTCGATCGATATGTGAACTTTCGACGCTGACAAATATCCTTTTTAAAATCAATGTAAAGAATTTCAATTTCAACCCTTCTCTCGAATCCGACAGATTCGAGGAGGCTTTTATCTCCGATAAAATATAGTGTTCCGGCTCGAGATACTCGGGATGTATCGATCAGGAATTTATTACATGTAACTTCAATCCACGCGCGATTAATAAGATGAAGATTCCTATAGAATTAAAACGCCCCCGTCCGCCCACGCGCGCGCGCGTGTTAATTTTTCATCCCTGTTGTTCAATTGCTTTCCAAACAAATCGCATGAGCCTACTATACATTCCGTTTCCGCTTAATGGCTATTACATCGATCGAATCGTCGTTCCACGACTCGCTCCAACAAGCGGATTACCGAGAATATTTCGGCTTTAATTATTAAACGCGGCTAATTCGCAAAGTAATCGCGTCTAGGTGTACTGTCGGGGCAAAGTGATCGGTGTACGCGATACACCGGGCACTCGAGCGAGAAGCGATATTCCCCGACCCGAGACCTATCGCCTCTCCTCCTCCCCCCTCCCACGCTCTCCTTCGTCCCTTGCGCGCCGGTGACCCACATCGCGGTGGCGGTGGGTAGTTTTAGCTTTTAAAGGGGCACAGACGTAGCGCGCGCGCCCGTCTCCGACGTTCCCAGATGTTCTTGGAACGTTGCGCTCGCGAACGATCGACCGATCGTGCTCGAGGCTCGAGGGAAATTCAAACGTCGAGTAACTCGACGAGGATGTGCCACCGACGACGGACGTCCACGTCGGTGTCCGATGACGCTCGACTGCCCCCGCACCCCCTCGTTTTCCTCAACTCGAGCGAGAGCTGCGAGAGCACTGGGGTGTGTTAGCTTACTTAGACTTGGTTGCACCAACGTCACTTGTAGGCTAACTTTGGCCGCGATAAGTTTCTCTTCTCCGGGTTTATGTCGTGTGTATAAAGCTGTAATCTGAGACGGGAGAGAAAAGAGAGAAAGAGAGAGAGAACAAATCGCTGAACCGGGACTTATTTAATACGCGTTATTAATGTAATGGAGCTTTATGCGAAAGACTGAGACGTAAACAATGTTAACAGACGGAGACATTTTAGATCAAAATTTAATAAATCATAAAATTACACGGACGAGTAACGTTTCAACATCGGCTACCACGCTCACGACTGATGTCTGCACATATCTCAATTATTCATGTTTGAATTTTGGCCAAGTTGGTGTGCAGACAGCCGAGAAGGTCGACCGGCCAGACGATTCTTGTCTGCGACCGTAGCATTAAGCTGGCAATTAATCAACTTTTATAATCATTACATATTTAGTATTTTCATACTAAACGTGTTAATATATTAATGCTTACGTTTTCGCACTCGATAAGAAAACAACTGAGATTAGTATATTAATAGATATACATGAATAATATGATTTCACACACACAAACATAAAATACAACGTGCGAGAATCGCTTGTAAAGATCGCTAATGAGCTTCACGTTCTCTTTTGACAAATCTCATTGGATCTGCAGGACAAATGAGTTCCAATCCTCATTCGGATTAAAACTTAAAAATCTTTCCAAGCAGTGCTCACTTAATATTAGTCAGAAATATCGAAAATCTTTGAAAACCAAAGTTATAATGAACACGCGTAACACAGTTATAAGGCAAAGTAGTATTATTAATAATACGGGAGCAACTGAAGGTCCTCTCGCAATCGTTGATTGTCGACAGAAGGATAAACTAAAATATGCGACTATTGTCTTATCAACAACAATATAGTACGGAATTGTTTAATAAATAAAATTACTTAACATCTATGCTCGGCAACTCGTGTTGGCTCGAGTTCCATTCGTAAGAATTCTTCATAAACGAATCGATTATCGTTTTTATTTAATTCTAGACGTTATCTGAGTAATTATTTAAGTTTGAAAATTGCAAAGTTCCAGCGAGAGATGGATTCTCGCTACGATGTAGACTACGAAACCTTGCGATTCAATCAGTTTCTCAATTCGCGTTCGTTTCATCAGCAAACATTTAACTCGATATTAAATTATCGAGACATAATCTAACATTACATTTCGAAGTGAGAAAACTGAGAGAAAAGACTTTTAAAAAACGAGAAAACTCCAGCGACAGATAGTAATCGTGCAGCCTCGGTAGCGAAGTGTCTAAGAGAGAATCTCTGAACGGGCATCCGGGGTCCTCTCGAGACGTCCCAATCGACCGATATAGTTACACGGGATGCACGGCACGGCGACGTATATCGACATCGATACGCGATAACTCTTGCACCTTGTATGCGCAGCTGCCGTGCACCCATAGCAAGTTTGGATTGCATGGAAGAGTTCAACGGCGGCGGCGGCGGCGTCGGAGGCGGCGTAGGCGGTGGCGGCGGCGTAGACTCGGGCGTGCACTGCAGCAACACGACCGGAACGAAAGAACAGCTACTAACTAGCTGCATTGCCGCACAAGCGCAACGTTTGCAGCATCCCTCGCCAGGTATTCGCTACCGCAACTTGGGCAAAAGCGGTCTACGTGTTTCCAATGTTGGATTAGGTACGCTGCTGAATGTATTTCCCACTTATCTCTCCCAGAGAGTCGTCTTCTCCGCGATCACGGAGCGCGCGTGAACGCTTTCCTCCCTTCGAAGACGATATATATCACCCTTGGATACCTCCCCCTCGTTTCTCCTGCGGTCGTGTACTCGCGCGATACTACATACCCGCGACCGAATCGATCCCGGAAGCGCATGGTTCCGTCTCACCGGTTATCTCGAATTTTTATCACTCGCGGTCACATCGCCGAACGTCGGATTTCACGTTTTCATTATTTATTTCGCAACGTTTCTGCTCTCCCGGCCGGACATACGGTTTCGCCGTGGATGCGGATATATACAATATGTACGATGCACTATGACCTATAGCTGATCGTTTGTGCTCGATAGCTCGACCAGTACACGCAATTCACATGACTTGCCTACGCAAATATATACACATGTAATCGCTGCACGCATGTGATTCAAGAATAAACGCTTCAAATTACTCATTTTTCTACCGTTGCGTCCACTTATAATTTTTTATAGACATTTTCTTCAAAATTTAAAAGAGAGAGAGAAGTGGTGCTACAATATATATTTTTCTACATTAAAAGCTACGTAATTTTTCTCTTTTACAAAAAAAGAAATGTTTATGATACAATAAAGTTACGTAATGTTATAAAAAGCAAATTTACACTAACAAGTTTTAAAAGGATAATCCTTTAAAAGGATTCGTCTATGCTCACATTAGTAGAAACAAAAACGTGAACGAAATCTCACACTCTTTTTTACACATTTCACAAATGTACATTAATTTTTTAAAGCAAAAAAGAGCTTATTTTCACGATGTTACTTTGTTGTTCTAGTTTCATAAATTATTCTACGACCGTTCTCACTTGTTGTTTCTCGGTAAAACTACATATTAGCGGCGACCTCATTGATTTCAATGACCTTGGTATATATTGTCTACCAACTTGCAAAAGAGTTTACCATCGTTCGTTACTTATTAAAAAATTATTAACAAATGAAATGAACCATAAAAACATATGTTGAATGTTATAATTTATGCTTTATAAATGCTAATATAAATTATATATTATTTGAATATATTATACATATTTAAGTAAAGGCTTGGACCGTTCCTTCTTCCACATCGAAAAAATTCCAACTTAATCCAAATCTATTTCTGATTTGAAATTAAAATTAGATTTGGGTTAGATTAGCATTTTTTCAGAATAGAGGTGCAGAAGGACGGAAAACGTGAACGAATGCTATTTTCAATATTGCGAAGATACGGATACATATTTTAAAAATAAATAATATCGTATTTAATTTATCTCAATTGTCTCTTTTATTTTCTAATATAAAGTCGAAAATTTAAAAGGAGAGAAATGTACATTGCCTCACGTTTGAAATATCGAAAAGAGTGATTACATTGATATTAATAACTGTTTAATAGATAACGAGCGACGGCTAAAATTTCTTGAGTATTGTTCAGAGCTAGGGTCTTTGATAATATGTCATAATCATTCAAATCGATAAAATTTCCCTTAATATATCATTTTATCCGTTTCTCATATAGTTGTTTCTCAGCCGTTGTCTTTCAATGTAAAGCAAAAGTTTCTTTTGCGACATTCTTGCACCAGCAAGGCAGGCCGGATATCCTTGAAACGTGAATCTAAAACAATTTGCTAGTAGAGTACGTGGCGTAGAATTAAACTTAACAGACTTTAAAGACTCAAGAAATGAGTTTAGACGGCTGAGCTGGCAACACGAAACTCCGTAGTTTAAGCTTAATTCATAATTGACAACGGTAATTTGACGACTTATCGCTATAATCATTATATATACTACCATTATCATTATTCCTATCCTTCGATGTAATAAAAAAGCGCAGTAATAATACTGTCATTTCTTGCGGGCCTACGAGTCTATTTTCCGTGCTGGCCTTGTGCCAGTGTCTTATCTTCCGGTGGAATAACGTTTTATTTTGAGATAGACGAGTTCGAATGTGCCGATAACTGTTAAAGCTCGGCCACCCTGACGGTTATTGCGACCGTCGCGATTTCGGTCACGCGGTCCTCCGGAAGACAAAGTGCGCGCGGCAGGTCGCCGATGTCGCTTGATTTGCTTTTATGGGACGCAGGAACGTGGACCACCTTCGGCGTGGGCGGCTGCGGCAGCGAGGAGACCGCGGAGGCCGTCGTGGCCCTCGCCTACGATAGCGGGATTAATGTGTTCGACCTGAGCGAGGCGCACAGCGGTCACCGCGCCGAGATCCAGTTCGGCCGTATCCTGCTGAGGCGCGCCTGGAACCGTTCCAGCTACGTCGTCACGACAAAAATTTACTGGAACACCAAGTGAGTAGAGCGCGCCCGTCCGTAGGTGTTTGTCGCGCGTGTCTCGGTGTCATTGATGGCGTACGTCGCCCGTCATCGTCGTCGTCGTCGTCGTCATTGATGGTGGTGTTTAGCGAGCATTGATGATATATAGTGGAGCTGGTAGTGGCTCTCGACGTGCTCTCGGTGGCTCTCGATGTTGTAACGCTACTGCACGCGAAAGCGCGGTCTTTTTTCCTTTCCTTTTCTTTCTTCTATACTTTCTTCTCCTTTCTTTCTTTTATTTTCTTATCTTATCTTATCTTTCTTTCTTTCTTTCTTTAGACGTGTGTGCTTCTCGATCGATGGCTTCAGTGTAATCGAACTTACTCGCCCATCGGCCTGCGTGCGAACTTTATCCTTCGCGTGCCCTCGCCGGCCGGAGATGATTAGTTGAATCGACATCGATTCGGTGAATGGTCGATGTCGAATGCCGGTTGACATTTTTGTCAACTTTGACTTTAACGCAAGTGTTTTTACGTTAATTAAACGATTACGAATATTTCTATAGATTTTTGTTGTCTTTCGGCCAATTCTACATCGAATATATAATATATACCTACATATATATACCGTGCTTTTGATGTAGAATTGGCCGAAAAAAAATAGAAATCTTATAGAAATATTCGCAATTGTTCAATTGACGCAAGAACAATTATGATGAGGTCGACGATGACAAGAATATCAACCGTCAGCGTTCGACGTCGATTTATCGATAGACTTAATCATTTCTGGCTGGGCTTATAATAGCGTATTCTGTGTACACTAAGCATGAGATGCTTAGACACTGTGCGTAATGCTTGTACCAAACCGTAAAAGTAGAAAAATTGAAAAAACAAAAAAATTGACAAGGTTTTCTTTTTAAATCTTAAAATCTTCGAAATGTTTTTTTTTCCTATGATTTCACAGTCATTATAAAATAAGGGAGACTATATATCTTAAAACCAATCCTCGGTTTCGAGCTCGCAAAGCTGAATTCTTTTCGCGTCGCGATAAAGAGAAACCTGCCAGTCATTAATAAACTCGAAGGTTACTGATACCTTATCACGTATCGTATTTGTCAATCATATATATATATATATATATATATATATATATATATATATATATATACATCGCATGCCTGGTATCGATAGATACAGAAAGAAAAGGACAGAAACCTTTCCTCAAGAACACTTTTTACGGGCGGAATTACGAAACGGCGGCGTGTCATCGATAAAATAAATTAGTCGGTGAACGGTTGTGCTCCAGGTGCTCCGTAAGATTACGCCGCATTTATTTTTAGGATTGTAGAACCCGATAGGGAGAACATATCGTGCCAGAAGCGAATCTCGATGCGAAACGGCCTCGTTTAATATCAAGTGGACGGCACGAATATGAGGCTTCTCTCGCCTTGACGCGTGGATCGATAACTAGGTTTCCCGTGCATCGGGCCGTCGTTATATTCGCCGTTGTTGTTTTCGGTTCGTGTTCGATAACGCGCCGCACCGTGTAACGAGGAAAAGCCGTAACGAGGAAACTCTGCCGTAACGCGTGCCGCCGCACACATTCCTCATCTGATGTCTCTTTATGATCCCAACTGCTATTTAATTCCGTTTGCAGCGCCTAATAAGATTGATAATATCTGCCTATTCTTGAATAGGACCGAGGGTCGCGGGCTATCGCGGAAACACATTATCGAGTCCGTGCAAGCTTCGCTCGTCAGGCTGCAACTGTCGTACATCGACATTGTCATGATCCACAAAGTCGATCCAATGTGTCCGATGGAAGGTAACTTTCCAATTCCTCATTCTCTTACGAGTAATATTCAGAGATTCGAATATCCTCTCTCTTTCTCTCTTTCTCTCTCTTTCTCTCTTCCTCGTCTCCATTCCATCGTTCAAACACTTTACCGGCACTTCACTGCACAAAAGCGTGCTACGAGATACTGTGATATACTCTGTAATTTCCGACAATAACTTTTACGTGAAGATGCCCGTCACGATAACGCACAATTTTTAGCATGAGTAGATAAAAAGAGACACATTTTTATTGTTTATGCTGTAGGAAGGCGAAGAGAGATGATTATTTAATGAGAAGAGAACTTCTCTCTTATCGAGAAGTTGACATTAAGATTAAAAATAAAATAAAAACATTATCGTGTTATCAGAGTGCTGCTTTTTGATCCTTTATTAGATTTGTTACGCTTTTAATATTTGTTTCAATTACTTCCAGATAACTGACCTTCTCAATAATCTTTATTTAATTTTAATTAAAAAAAAATTTATGATCGATTACTATTATAAATGGTTGATGATTTTCATTAGACTTTCTATTAATTTCAATATTAAGAGCTTAAACCATCTCATTTTTCATCAATATTATAATAATCGATTCGAAAGTAGTTTTCCACTTAGAATATTCATTTTGCAGTAAATTTTGTTTTCTTTGGATAAAGGTAAAATTTATTTATCACGGTCGCGTCGTGCAAATTAAATATAAAACTCTTCAAGCTATAAAAAGAAATCATTAGCTTATATTACGTGCGATGGATTGATATTTTAAGATATATTATTATTATTTCATATTCAAGAGACACGGATCCATCGAGTAGTGTTATGCAATGCATTTATTATAGAATGAGAATAGTTACTTTATAATTATAAAATATAATTATAAAAATATTGACACACTTTTTATCGGTATTAACTTAAATTTCAATGATTTACTTAGTTTCAGACATTTTGCATGACGCAATACAATTTCTTAAAAGACAAACGATCTTAGTCCATGACAAAACTTGAAGAAACTATAATAACGAAGTTACAAAGAATCTCCACTATGGTGACGATTTGATGTTTGGCAGTTGCATTGTGCCGTAATAGTTACCGTATGCTTCTTTCTATATTCGGTACTTTTATAGCGAAAATGGGAAGTCATTGTTGCAAAAGCATATGTATTCTACATGCTATATGTACATATAATATATATACAATATATATGTATGTGTGTGTATATATATATAATATATACATATATATTTATATATATATTTTTATATTTATTTTCTTGTTGTAAATGAACGTCTTGTGTTTACGTATCACGTTAATGTATGCTTTATATTATGCGAAAAATGTATGCAAGAGAACTATCTATATTCTATAGCTATTTTACCTTTATCCTCACACGCTTTGAAACACACTTCCGCTCTCTTGTTTTCTTAATAGATGTTATCTCACCGTAAAATAGAGATTTATCGCATCGATCTCGCATCATTTATCCATGTATACCTGGCAATTTTGTCACGATAAGAAAATCTCGTTTGTGTCCTTTGTATCTCACGTATTCGCGTAATCTTACATTTCAGAAATCGTTCGCGCGATGAATTATGTTATAAGTAAAGGTTGGGTGATGTACTGGGGTACATCGCGATGGTCACCCGTGGAGATTATGGAAGCCTATACGAATTGTCGGCAATTTAATTGCGTGACGCCGATCGTCGAGCAAGCTGAGTATCATCTGTTTTATAGAGAGAAACCCGAACTCTATATGCCAGAATTGTATAGCAAAATTGGTAATTAATCCACTATCTTTATTTTTAACACATTGATTGCCAAGTTAACTCATATTTGGTGATTTATAGACAAACATCAGCTATTCGGTTTTTTGGCGAGGAAAACAAAAATTGCCCTGTGAGTTTTGATAAAGAAAAATATATACACACACAATAATTAAGTATATAGCATATTAAAATAACGTGCTGATATGAAAATATCAAGCATCGGATAAAAAGTTACCTATAATTGTACAATTGTGGCAATCAATGGGTTAATATCATATGATATCGTGAAATATATATCGTAGAAATTTTTAATACGATATTTTAATCGACAAATTCGATTAATAATTTTTTTACAGGGGTTGGTTTAATGGCATGGTCTACTGTCACCATAGGGATGGTCTCTTCGAAGCCGGAAGATTGCGGAGTATCGTTCCTCTCGAGATCGTCTTATAAAGTAAGTATTTAAAATATGTATAATTATTTTTAATATTTATTTGATGAACGAAATTTATCTTATTTTTTATCGAAGAAGCATTTACATAAATCACTGTTATGTTATTATCTTATACTATTATTCCGAGAGAAATAAAATTATATTATTTTAATAAATTAAAAAACTAAATAAGATTGTCACAAAAATATAGCAAGCCATTAAAAAAAAGAAACCGAAACGAAAAGTATCTATAAATCGAAACAAAGAATAATCTTTATGATTTCAGAACAAATACTCCTCATTCAGTTGGACGGAGGATGAAACTCAATCTTTATATAAAGAGGTATGCGATTAATATATTTATAGAAACAACACGTTTACGTATAAAAAAATAGTCGCAAACATCATTAAAGATAAACATATTTTGTCTATACACGGAAAGAACGATTTTGTCCAAGTATCGAAAAATTTAACTAGATACAGATGTGAAAATAAATTTGGTGGACCATCAAAATAATTATGTAAAACGTTCAAACATGATGATAATGTTGCAAAAAGCTTTTTCTCTCAAGCAACTAGCTTGAGCGTCTGACATAATTATTTTGAGAAAGATGGTCCAACAAAATTAGTTTTAGAACTGTATATATCTAGCTAAACTTTTAGATACCTCAACAAAACCATATATTTCTTTTCCTATATTTATTCTGACTGTGAGATTTAACGGAGACGAGCGTGGCCTAGTAGCGCACTGGTCTATTGAGCCAAAGGTCCCGGGTTCGATTCCCGGTAGAGCTAGAAAATTTTATTCGCTCGTTCTCCTCTCGGAAGGCAATGGCAAACCACCGAGAGTATGTCTTGCCACGAAAACTTCTCTAAAAAATTGCCGTTCGAAATCGGCGTTAAACTGTAGGTTCCATATACAATGTGTATAATCCACGTGCGCAACACATGTATATGAAGAGAAGTCACCACGCTCGGACACGAGTAATAGGACTGAGTATGTGAGATTTAAATCTATCGATTACGGTACATTAACTTATTGTTATTTCTAATAACAATAAGCAAAGTGCAAGGCCATTACTCTCATTGTCTTTGAATGATAATTTTACAAAAATTGTCATAATGAGACGGAGACACGATTCGTGAACTGTGCACTTATTCTTTTAAGCGCGCTAATGATTATTATTTTTGTGACGCAGGAGTACGCATGGAAAGACAAATCTGCAGACGAGGAGACTCGGAAATATTCTGACAAATTGCGGGACGTATACGCTCTTGCTGAAAGACTAGGGTGCTCTTTCGGGCAATTGGCCATCGCGTGGTCTTTAAAGAATGAAAGTGTTCAGTGCCTTCTACTCGGTGCATCCAATATAGATCAATTGTATGAGAGTCTCCAAAGCTTACAGGTAACGATCAGGCTGTTTGTCTCTCGCGGAAGGTTGTTTGCCCTATGCTATATTTGAGACGATATATCGCATTAAATGACGTACTTGTAGTTTTCCTATAGATAACGTAATGTCGAAAGTCGTACATAAATAGTTTCGCTTATCGATAAATTTTAACTGATTTCATTGCCCTTGCTTGTTTTGAATGGCGAAGCGTAAACGAATGAAGGTTTTAAAATGTCCTCCTTCGATTAGAGTGATCGAATACTTTTAACTCTTTGCGGTCGTAATACTTCTTAGCATGTATCCCGTTGATCGGAATTATTTTCATTTGCACCACGGGAGACACAGGCTCAATAATTGGTAAAAAAAAACTATAAAATATTAATTTTACCGATATTTTTTATCATATTTTTATCATTATTACTACTCACAATTAGATATATCCTCAATTTCACTGCGCTCTTGCCGTCTTGTTTTTTTACAAAATTATTATTACAAAAATATGTAATAATAATAATAAAGAGATAATATGAATAATAATAACAGAACATTAATGTCAAAACTAAAACTTTCTCAAGAATCTTTCTATTTCCCGTTGTGCATTCGCCAGAGAACTAACTCCTTTATGCTACGGATAAAGGATCTAAAATCTGACAGACATATCATGTTCATTTTATATAACGCATAAACGTGGGTGTAAAGTACGATAAGATAAACTGCATCGTGCTGAGCTACCTAAATAAACGCCGTTCGTGTCGGGAATATATTTCAACTTACGACTAGAAAGTGCTTTGCCGGGAATATCCTGGCTTACGATTAGAAAGGTAAAAGTGCTTTGCCGGAAATATCCCGGACTTCGACCGCAAAGAGTTTAATTTTAAAATAAAGCTATAAAATTGATATCTTGATAACGCGAAAAATAAAATAGTTAAAAGTCAAAAGTGTTGATCGATTCATGATTGTGTATTATCACCCCCTCTGTAAATCATACAAAATTATCAGTTTTTAATTCGTAATCTAGTATAAAATGTGTGATTGATGAAGTAATTCCGTGCGATTAGAAAATATCAGAAATCGAATGTAGTGGCAAATAATAAAAAGAATTCCCGATTTCCAGCTTATCCCAAAATTGAACGCGAACATAATGAGCGAGATCGAGAGGATTCTTGACAACAAACCGTCCCGACCGCCGATGATATCCACTCTGGCGCTTAGATGACAATCGATGTGCCCCCACGGCAGCGGTGGGGGTTCCGTGGAAGAGGCGGGCAGTCCGAAGAGCGAGGGCGGCAATAGTCAGGATCAGGAGCAGACCAAGGAGGTGAACCAGAAGATGCCGTTCTGCGAGATACAGTGAAACCGCACGCGGATGACGAACAGACGAACCGTCTCATTGCTCCATATTGGTTGCCCGATACCGATCGCAACTTGGGTGGCCAAGGACCGACACGGATGCGACTCTCGTTTTCGCGTCCCCGCTTTTCATTTTGGTCGCGACCCGGTGCGGGTCGAATGCACACACGACCATGAGTCGACACGACAATATTTACAATTACGAAAGAAATCCATCTCTGGAGGCTCGCCGCCCCTCGGCGACGGCGAGAGCATTCACTCTCGGGGGGGTTACCCCCGCGTACTTCACGCACCGATTTGTATCTCTCGTACGTCACGCTCGTGGACACTCGTAGATACGTAGATGATAAACGCGACGCGTTTCATCGTAAGAACCTCACCTGTCTCCGTTGACGGTGTCGCGCGCTTTCGCGAAAGCATCTCCGCGGGAACGGTCACACTTGTCCCCGATCACACCGAGCCGTAAATTTCTCTCTAATCTCCCTCTGTCAGGAGAGACTCTATCCCATCGGGGAGATTTCCATTCGCGATTCCAAGTGTTCATTATTCTTAGCGTTAATGATCCCATTTGCTACACTCGTAGTAAGTAATCAGGAATTCGGCAGTGTCGCGAGTCCATCGAACTACATTCTGTCTGCCATTCATTACAATTAAATTCGGACGATATAGCACGCACGTCGATTATCTAAAAAGTTTCGTCGTAGGTCGTAAGGATTTTATCAAGGATGATATGCTATGAGCAGCGCTGCGTTTTAAGTGCTCTACCAAATATTCTTCGTCCTTAACGCGATTAACATTTCGCTCCATCAACTTCGACGTCTAATACGTATTTTTTTCAGCTACACGCCGTTGCGCTTGATTCTTCGCGTTTTATCCATCAATTTACCTCCGCTTCTCTTTCTCCATCTCTCCTTTTTCTAGTTTGTTTGAGGATCGAGATTGCGTTATATTAAAAATAAGAGATACACGCGCGATACGTATGCGCAAGTTTTCCATAAAATACATATAGCCACGGACTTTTTCGCTCTTACAAAGAATACTTCGCGCTTGTTTTCAGAACGTAGGTACTGTATACTAAAGGACGCGAATGCAGTTGAAGAATAAATTATACAAAGAGTAATTGCGGAATAATCGATAGCTGACGATTCCGATAATCGAGTTCGATTCAGTAGAACAAATTGAGACGAGCGATTCGTGAAAGTGAATCGGAACGACATTTTCAATTCAAAGTCTGATTCAGTCCCTGGACTGATTCTTTAGAGGTAATCAATTTCTTAGTGGCTACACTCGAAATATTTTCGCTAAATATCGCAAACTCGGTCGAATCCGACATATATAAATTCTGCAACATGACAGGTTTTACCGAGGAATCTTTGAAGAGCCGGACACTATGTACAAAAGATCTCTTTACTTCAGTAGACGACCATTTCTGTCAAGATAACGTCTGTTTGTTTATCGCGCATGATAGTTTTTCGCTTCGCTTCGCCGTAAAGTGAGACATATTTCTGAGAAAAGATTTATCTCAAAGAGAGAGGCAAGGTTTGTAATAATCTACGATTATACCTTTGTGCGCGCGGTATATCGTTGCCCCTGAGCAATATCCTTTCGACTCATCTTGCCGTTCCCTTATGCCAAAATGACGGAGAGTCACCAGCGGATGCGATTCGTGCCAACCACACAAAGCGCCGTTTCGCCGATCACTCGGAACATTGCTCAAGTGTACGATCGAGAGAAAATTTCTCGCTCCCGTAAAAATGGTATGAATCCGTATATCGAAATGTATACAAACCCAAAAGAATCGTACACACTCTGGGATCTGTATAGAATCTACAGTTAATTTATTAAATTAGTTTCAACCAAAGGCTTCGACAAAATCTTTTCTTTGCGATTGTGTGTATGCCAAGATCAAATCTCTCTCGAATTAAAATTAACCCTACATTACTCATGCGATTTTTTTAACGTAATTACTCGCGCGGGGTGTATTTCATTACTCAACATTATATCTCAATTTTTATTGTTCTCTTTGATAATTTACAGTTAAATGAAGGTTGATAATATTCTACATGTCTTCTGAAGACAAGTGCAAAAATTCCTCCTTAATTGCGAAACAATTTATTGTTGCAACATTCATCATCAATCAAAAAGTCATCAATCAATAAAAGTCATAAATCAAGATCAATAAAAAAAGTTTTTACTCTGTAAGTTTAGTAGATTTCTATGGCTGTATTTTACGCGCGAGTAACATAGGGTTAATTATCTGTAATCGTTTATTTATAACTTCCCCTTTCAAATGAAGAACAAATCAGATCCATTTTTACGCGTGGGAGTTTTCCTAGTATACTGTAACGATATTATTGACATTCCGCTTAATCTCGTCAACTCGATGATAAATGCCAAGTTTCTTAGGAATGTGCAATGTTGCATGCTGATGATAAATGCTCGCGGAAAAGGAAAATAAAGGGGGGGATATAATGAAAGCTGCCAGTACACTTTTATCGCGTCCGATGCGGTTTCTTCAAGCTAAACTTTCGTCCAACACGTGACATATGGTACAGCGACGTAGGTCCCAGTGTAAATACTTGGAGGTGATAAAAAGGGGTGTCACGATAAATCAAAAAACATAAAATATCGCGCACCAAGTATCGAGCGAATTATATAATATTCGCGTAGCAATATATGCTTACAAACACGATACGCAAAGTGCAAAAATTACGATCTCATCGGCGGGGAAAACATCGAGCGTCATCAATGCGCGGGTCATGGTATCGTCCGTTATTTTTTTTTTTTACATTTCCGAATATTTATCAGTCGCACTGCAAACCGTCTGTACATGACGCATGTAAGAATCGCTCCTGTTGCCGACGATAAAACCGTCGTTGTACGTCGCCTGCGATCGAAAGGAACGTCGAGAGCTATCAGAGATAAAGCCGTCCTCACGCGGTGCATCATTTTCGTGCCTTCTTCCTCTTATTTTGATCGATGAATTGTGCGTACATTGCTCGAAGCGCTGTATGCAGTCATCACTCCGAAGCTGGTGAATCGGTTGCATTGTGACGTTCATAACGCGTAATGAAGAAGCGTCACAAATTGAGATAGCCAAATCTGTTTGACACCAGATTTTTAAAGTGTCTACTAAATATTTAATGACAGATTGACTGCAGAAACCGAGCAGAATCTGTCGGTTCGTAATTTAAATGATGTATTCCATTAAAAAATTTACGAAATCACGAATTCTGTCTACAATTGTCAGATTGTATCAGCAAGCTCTGCCGTGGCGAAACACTTATAGTTTAATGCATAGGATAATATCGGATCTATTGTAATATCTGAGCAAATCTGCTGCTAATCTGTTGTCATATACTCCGGGCAGTTTGCTTATTAAAAATACGAATAAATTCAATAAACGATGGCGTTTGTATCTAAATTCAGCAGTGAAGGAAACTGGTCGCGATGCGTCTGACTTGAAACACAATTGTTTACTTTGCTACCAGTCAGTCATATAACTCTGTTGAGTCTGTTGCCAACGTTTTAATTGATACATTCAAGGAAACGAGGCACGAAATAATGTACCGTACCAAACATACAGAAATCATGCGTGTCCCGCTCAATGTATGGAGGTGTCTATGTCTAATGCGTCGAAACAGGCACAGCGACGTGTGAGCTAATTATGCAGGAAATTATACACCGTAGGATGGCTTAACGAGAATACGGCATTAATACCTGAAGCGTGCCTGAAAACGTGCGGAGAAAAACAGCGAGAGATCGACGACCGCTTATCGGCATCACCGTAAAACTGGACGCTAAACTATGTAATATTCGCGATTCGTGAGTCGTGTAGTAATTTATTGAAAATTCGTTATTCGCGGACTTTCCACACGCGAACAGTGGTACTTTATCGTTACTACGTACCGATTCGCGATGACGCGTTCTTTGATTTCGTCGAAAAATCGTTCCACTGACGAATTAGCGCGAATAACGAATAACGAATTTGAATTTGACAAAATTTCTCTTAACGCTATTCACGAATGTGCGAATACGCGGATAGTCTCGCGCCAGCTTTAAAGTAAAATAGCGCGACGGCAAACAAATGAAATCGGACGTTCACTCAATCGTATATAAATATGATTTTAATACGCCATCAGCTTTTTATGGGGCAAATCTCTGTAATATCGCACTTTACAGCCGCAAAAATCCGTCCTAATATTACAAATCGGGAAGGATGTATTTACAGAAATTGTTTTTAATTAATTGCAATTATTGCTTTGCATTGTTTCGTTATCGTGGCTTATAATGTTATATTATATTGCAGATCGAATGAGCTCAATTATATATTCAAGAGCAGAGGGATTTCCCAACATGATTATTTGACAGATTTATATACATTCTCAATTATTTATGATATTTTAATACAAAGAAAACCTGCGCTTTAACTTTTGTGCAGTTTTTATATTTGTATTTTTATCCCCGCTTTATGTTACATTTATTTAATGTGCACCTTAATAAAGATTAACATTGCGATGGGATGTCTGGATTAATATTAACATCTCGAACGGACACGATCGCGATAAAGATAAGGCTTCGCGATAATCCAGATAGGACAATTTCAAGATCGAGGGCGATACTGCCAAAGACCAGTTTTCAATTGTTCGCTTCCTAATAATATAAATGAAACCTCTTTCTTATCATATGCCAATCCTCGACAAGGACTTCTACCGATTAGATCAATATATCTTATTGATTCAATTTTTACGAATTAAATTACTGATTTAGTATTTATCCATGAGAGGTGCTAACGGTCAGCCATGTTGATCGAAATACAAAGGACGAAGGACGTAATACATTATAAACGAACCGTGTGTTTCTTATGATCCTTTCGAGAATATCGATTTTTACGCACTCTTAACTTTTACCGCAATGCGATTTATTCTATAATAGAAGAAAACGCGCGCAAATGTCACCGCGGCCTATTGCGCCTCTCCTCTAACGCCTACTTACTTATCTCGCCTATTTACTTGCCGTAAATAGGCACGTGTAGATCTTCGCTGACCGCGCCGCATAGGCAAGTCTGTCGTATCTTTATTAGTACAATAGAGGAAGGGAAAGTACGCCGGCGACGCCATAAATAAGCAATATCCGAATCGACAAAGTAAAATTAATTAATTAAAATATTTCTGACGCGCAGAGTCTTTCTAATATACCGAATGAAAACTAATAAAGTCGTCATGATATTTTGCCGCCCGATCGTCTCCGCGTTTTAAGAGCATGAAGTGGCCGAAACGCTAAATGCCTACCGCCTACCTATAAGGAGCTGATCCCATTGCTGATGCCCATTGCTAAGAGGATATCCTAATGGTCATTGGGCATATCCATCACGGTCACTAGCGACATCCTGGATGACCAAGGGGACCAATGCTGCAATGGGCATCTCGCTGAGCGCGCGTCTTCGGGATCTTAGGGACCATTGTTGTGACGATTGGCGTGTAACCCACAATCGTCACTGAGCATGTCACTACCGATGATTCGAAAGCATTTTAATTGAGGAAAAAAGGGGGAGAAGGGCATGGGAAGGAAAAAGATGATTTAAAATCGTATAATTTCGTGCTCGTAAAATGCGGAGAAGATCGACATCAAAGAGGAAATGTCATGCCGTCCGCTTGTAAATATAAAAACGGCCGATACAGGCCGATTTGTACTGTAGCATTAAGTTTGGGATGGGCAATCTTTATGATTATCGAGATCTACATCTCGTTTGTAATTTTTCCCAACAATAAACCTCCTTCAGATTCACGTAATTCGGCGCGCACAAGTCATAATTTTTTTTTATAATAATACTACGTACATACAAATTAATCAAATTCACTTTTAAACAGTAATAATTGAAGATACTGATGGACGCTCGCTAGATTGCGATTGGTTGGCCCATCTCAAAAATAGGCACTTCAAGTATACTTTTGCGTCTTTTCATGATTTACAGCATTATATATAACATCTAGTGTATGAATTATATATACATATAATAATTTTTATAATAAACGCTGTAAAAAAACTTCCTCTCTCAACCAAACTATTAGAACATTAGATTTTTCCTTGCTAGAAACCGACAAATATTCCATGAGTACATCATAAATATTACATTAACAATGATGGTCAATTAATTTACAAAGTTAAATGCAGAATTCCGCATACAGGGCTAATTATAAAAAAAGTGCAAGACAAAAAACAATGCGAAAATTTTTTTAAATATTTTCTTTTTTTAATTCCTAACAAAATAGTTTTATTTTAAACTACATTTCCTTTAATACAAAACATTATCTAGATCGGTAACTTGATAACAAAATATTTCTTTTTTCTTTTGTGTAGAAATAAAATATAAATAAGACGTAAAAATAAAAACTGAAAAAATATTTGGATGATAAGCACTTCACAATTCCGCAAAAATTGCAGACAACGATTGCGAATAACAACGATGGACATTTCTCGACCTGATGTTCGTATTAAAAACTTTTGTTATTGCGTGGATCTCCTGAGTGCATCCTTGAAAGTTGACAAAAGCAACTTTCGCTCTTCCTCGTGTTGAAAATTCGGCTATTAAATAAAGAGTGGTAACCCGCCGTGTGAAACGGCGACTTTAGGGGGGGCACATAGGTAAGTTCACCGGGTAGAAGACGTTCAGTTCGAATAATAATGCAAAAACCAAGAATATCGCGTAAAATATCAGACAAATGACACCCACTTTCTTGTTCAAGAAATACTTGCAGTACGCGACGAGCGCGTAAAAGGCGATTACGCACACGACGATCGAGAGCACGCTGAAACGCAGAGCATCCGAGACGATCACGATGTCCTTCTGGTCCATAAGGATCTTGACCAGCCACGGTAGACCAAGGCATAGCAGGATATCGAGCGTGTTCGCGCCTAACGTATTGCTCATAGCCATGTCTCCGTTATCTGCGGCGAAACAGAATCAATCTGAGTCCTAGCATTATCTTGGAGATCGCGTTTTTTTTTTAGAGAGATTTCTTTTTATCAATTCTTTCATTTGCGCGTTACTCGGACAGCTTACTTTGTCTGGAAAGTATTACGATCGAGACGAGTTCCGGCATATTGCCACCAGCAGCTTGGAACGTGATACCCATCACGGAATCCGGGATCCCGATGGTGTCGCCAAGGACAGTCGTCATCCAGGACGTTAGGTAGGAGGCCACCGCGATCCATATGATGCACATGATAAACGTTAGCAGATACCAGTTTTTCCATCGTTTATACCTGCTGTCCGGTATGGTAACGAACAATATTAGTTTTAATGGCCAAACGAAGCAGAACCAGATTTTGGCCAGTTTACCGCCGGTGGGCCATACAAATGGGGTATCTAAAAAACGAGACGTAGCGAGCAGTTCGCTTATCGTAATGTAACATAATATTCGATTAAGTCTAATCATTCGGGTTGCGTGTAGTCGGAGAGATTACGCGCGTATGTTATAACAATACCTGGTTCCACATACTCTTCTACCTCTTTTACGTGATTTTGCGTCTCTATGTCATTGGCAGAAGGTTTCCGGTTTGCGATGCTTCTTCTGTGATATTCCACTACGAGCTCGCCGTGGAAGTAAGGCCTGTAGAGTCCATCAGGCATTGATTCTTCATTGCTTTTTGGAGCTGTCGGATAACAAAATTTATATACATAGACGGTCCATCATGTATAATCTTCCTTAGAATCTTAGACGAACATGTGCGCGATTATACTGAATTATCCCATCACCTGTCGACAAATATTAATGTAAAGGAAGTGTTAAGGTAAAAAATATTGCGGGATTGTGCGAATTTTTAGCTAGATTATTTCACTTCGAGATGAATTGATCTTCTCCAAAAATCAATGCCCGTAACGTACAATCGTATATCAGAGATTATTATCAATCGTTAGCTATTTTTATGAAGTTGAAATAATCGACTCAAACTCTGATTAGCTCGCTGTGTAAGATTATATTAATAAAAATATTTTATTTAAAAAATGTATTTTTTGTTAATAACATATAAATAATATAACGTAAAATGTCTAATATATCATTTTACATGGACACTGGGTCATTACATGTTCCCTTTTACTTTCTCCAGGCAAAAAGTTGTATGGTTTAAAGGAGAACAAATAATGATAAAAACAATTTTCGAAAAAAAAAAATTGATTTTTTCAACTCATATTATTTTTTAAAATAGAATTAGATATGTAATTTTTCTACATATCTATGCTGTATATGTTATGTAAATTGAAATACTATTTGACGTGAAAAGCCGACACAGAATTTCGACAAAGAGAATATTGTATATACCGTGTACACAGACAATCTGTGCGAGGTGCTGAGGTGTTCAGAATTAGGAGGCTGATCAATATACAGGAAAGCGTATGTAGAAATTGCGCAAGGGAGATATCTCCAATATTCAGTGTAATAGTACTTACTTTCTTCCTCGTTAAGATCGGTACTGCGGGTTTTGCAAAAGTACAGATGCGCGAGCTTATTATGCCAACGCACAATACACTTGCTGGAAAATAGTATTATCAAATAACCGACGAACAGTACCATGAGGATGATTGCTTCGTACAATTTGATTATGCCGTCCCACATTATGATCACCAAAACGGCGACCGAGATCACGTAAATCACACAATCTCGAGTTAATATTCGCCATTCTAACGGTATTGCCTGTTGAAGAATATGAAAAAAATCGTTTTAATTAAGCAAACAACTGTTTTTGTTTTTGCGTGTAAATATCGTATCATAAAACGAATAACAACACTTTGCATACACGCACACACGCGTGCACTCATATATTTGCGTTGTGGCAAATTTATCACAGGTGGTCTCAAAGGTAAAGTGGACAATCGAAAATTAATTTATATTTATCGAATACGACATCGGGAAAAAATTCTGCTAATAAAGCGAAATCGTTCATGCGAGCACGAAACAGACTCATTTATTAAACGCGCGACCTTACATAGTTTTACGCATACTGCATTTTTATTATCCGCTATGCCGTGATCTAACACTTGAATAAACATTTATTTTCGACATTTGCTTTATTGAGTTTAATCAATTTTCTAGTCCACTACGCTGTACTCCACTACATTTAATGACGAGAGAAAAAGAGAGAGAAAAATATGATTTATAAAATTCTAGAATATTTTCATATCCCAAACTGTGTTTGTGAAATTAAAAAAAAAACTCGCTCGTATTGACTTGCTCAATCTGTCAAAGTTATATACATAGATCAAATTAAACGTAGATATTGCAATCTTTCAAAAACGACATAGCTGAAAGTCATTAAAGTAAAGCTTAGACAATTCATATTCGTGGATAAGATTTCCCTCGTCTTCGAGATATGCACTTCTTGCGGGACAAATGAGATTGTAAAAATAATCTTAATGGTACAATAAACGGCGGCGGCGTTGAATGAAGTGATATATTATCATGGCGTATCAAGTGAGAAGTAACGTAATAACAATAATACGGATGAAGAGTCTATTGCTGTATCGCGTCTGCGAGAACTTTGTGATGCAATTATATTTCCCCATGGAGAATTGTTATTTTAGTACGTGTCAACGGATGGAAATCGGTTAGATAAACAAGTGAGACAAAGCTAATCCTTTAGGATCGGAAATATAATCTCCATTTAATCTCGGTATTTAAAGAAAGAACATGTTTGAAGGAAATCACCATGAGTTGATATGACCAAACAAATTTTCGTTGTTACATTTTATCAACCGCATTCTTCTCTCTTGGAATAAACGTTCAAATTTTTATAAATGTGAAACACTTTACCTCTCTATGTTACTTAAAGCGATTGTTTGTTTATAACTGATGATACGGTGATGATGTAATCAAAATGGAACTTCTTTTGCGAATTACCGTGTTTACAATTCCTACGTGTAGATTAATGAAATGAAGAAACACATTCTGAGTGAAAACACCACCGCGCATTTAACAAAAGAAACGTGTAATCGCTTGGAGAACTCGTGAGAACATTTTTTGTTCGTGATTTCGGGGAATTCGGCGACAGTTATACAATTACTTCGAAGTAGAGCTTCTCGCAAACAATGAGCCGTCATTAAAGTAATCACCAGCGATAGAAGACGATAATGTACGCGAGACGTTATTTAAAGTTGCAGATTCGTGTATCATTTTCTGGCATTGTGTAATCTGTTTAATACCGTCCTCGCGTCATAATATCCCCTTCTTCCTTTCCTCGTAACAGCTGTTTCATGTTAAGTAATGGCACTTCATATAAAAGAGGGAGGAAAAACCTAATCTAATTCTAATCAATCTTAGATTTCAGAATTATCAAATCTTAATAGACAATCATGATTAGATACTTCTAATTATATAAAAAATAGTTAAAAAAGCAAATTCAGTTTTTAATTAACACATTATAAATCACCTCGCATAATATAGACAGTATTTTACTTGCATAAGAGTTACATTTTCCTTGAATTAATATTCGTTTCTTAAACAAAAAGTAAAAAAAATGTTTTAATTAAAAAATCGACGGATAAGGTAAAGCGATCTATGATCAGTGATAAGTAAAAGTCAGTAATAAAATTTCAGGTGATGTCACATGTTATGCGTATCGGTAGAGATGATACAGCAGACATTACGTCGGATAATAACAAGAATAATAACAATCGTTAAATAATCGTTATTCTGAATAAGCAGCGAGATAAGAGTAGCCCATATCGATAACACGCGTCACATATCGATAAATAACATAAATAATATTGAGGAGTATATAGGTGCGAATTTCACAGATAGCGTTTACACCGAGAATTAGCTCGTGAAAGCTTCTCCTCGAATATAAATCTTCTCTTAAATGCGATAACAATTTCGTATTGATTTATGAGCTTGATTTATATACTACATGAAACTTTCCCGCATTACTGGCAATATTTCCGATTTAATACGATACAACTGTACGATACTGCAGAGCCCAGAGCTTATTACCGCAACGTTGCAACGACATTCTCACAAGTTCGATAAATAAAAGAACAGATCCTTTCTTTTTAACTTCTCTGCAGAAAAGTTAAGTGCAGGCAGGTAAAAGAGAAACGGATCTCCTTTCAAGTTCGTTCTTCTTCTCGCTTCCTTTTCCGCGACGCCCGAATATATTACACCGTTTCGCCTCAAACACAAACAAGCAGTGTGACTAATTGTAAGCAGAACACAGTTGTCCACGCCGTGCATGCGTTATATCAAAGCCGAGATTTCCACATCGTTTTCATCATCGCCACTCCATGCTAATCCTTATGTCTTATGTGATCAAGTACTTTATATGCTTGAGCGTTACTTACGTGCATCGCCGATAACGCGCCGCACGCCGGTGTCGCAAACGTGTTAAAGACCGCGCCGCCCATCACGGTACCGACACCGAGATCGGACTCGGTTAAAAATGTGCCGACGACGTTGACAAACAGCTCGGGGAAGCAGCTGGCGGTGGCGAGGAAAGTCGCCCCGGCGACGTCGGTGCTGATGTTCAGACGCGTGCAAATGATGTCGAGCGCCGGTAACAGGTAGTCGTTGCAGACGAACGCCGTCAGGATGAAGCAATAGAAGCCGAAGAGCAAGTGGAGCACCACCGCGCCCTGACAACGCTGCTCGTACGTGAACACCTCCGGGAACTCCTGGATCGAACGCTCCGAGCAGTTGCCCTCATCTTCCTGACTTGTCGACAAGAGATGGATCCAGTCGCGAATGTCGTTCGAAATTGAGCCATCCTCCGAGAATCCTTTGAGGATCGAGGACGCAGGTAGATTTTCGTCTAATCGACAACAAGCAAGGCGTCTATTCAAGGGGAATTCCGGCTGATCGTATTTAAGTAAACCGATGCACGCGAGAGATTGAGAAGATAAAGTTTTATCTCTCTCTAAGATTCTTTCCTTATTTGACTTGCGAGACTGATGTGTGTGTGTATACCTTAAATTTTTGTGTTTCTCGTAAAAAAAAAAAAGAAGAAAAGGTTTCCTTATTGGTTTCTCGTAAAAGTCCAACATTACTAGTACGCGCATTTCAAGGTAAACATTTGTTACGAATATCGAGAATATAAAACGATTCATATTTTTGTTTTAATACACAAATGTTTCTATATGTTTCCAACGTTACGAAATATTTTACTTTCGCTTCTGTATCTGCTAATTGTACCAACACATATCTTCGAAATGAAACTTCGTTAAATTGCTTCCATTACTTTTGCCACTCATACTTTATTTCCCATTTCCCGCGATAACATAATACATTTTTGTAATTATCTTCGTAATTATCTCCAACTAATAATTTCGATATAGCGCGTGACTCGAGTACAGGAAATTTCAAAATAAATACTAATATATACGATAATGCCTTTCAAGACTATAATAAGATACTCCGATAAGATTATAGACATTTACATTTATAAATTGATTAAAAATATTCCCCGACAAATAAATCTATAAGAGGACTCTCCGTATCAGTGGTGGCACAGTCATTAGAGTAAAAAAAAACAACGTAAAAGTTTCCGCTAATTGGACGCAGTTATGTAATAAGGAACCAAGAGCCATTTCTGTGATTTTTAGTTCTGTGTTGCAAAGTGCGCTTCACGTGGACAGGACATTTTCTGGAAACGCATATAACACATGAAATTGTATTTGAGGAAGATTATAGTAAATTGTTCTGTCATAATATTTGAGATAACGTTGGCGTAGAATTTTATCTCTAATGTTTCGTGGAACTTCCTCTAGTAGAAGTTAAGATTTTGGAGTTGGTTCTCCAACATTGCAGAATTGCGTCCAATTTCAAACCGCGTGCGTTTGACAACCTGTTATTACAATCTGATTTTAAAATCGCGTTTCAATTTTTACATCATCATTTCTTTATTGATGCGCGCAACTAAGGCACAATGGGAACCCATTTCTTCTCTTCACTTCTTCAATTACTATACCATCATGTAAATTCTTCTTCTTTTATCCTTTTCGTTATTTCTCTTTCTTTGCCTCATCCACGTTCCAATGTGCAAAATAGCAGCCAATACGTCATGCCCAATGAGCAAACTGCAGTATGACAACAGATTAGCAGCAAATTTGCTGAGATATTGCAACAGATTTGATATCACCTGGTGTCATTAAACTCGGTGCTTTGCCGGCAGAGCCTGTCGATATATAAATCTGACAGCAGATTGTCGGCAGAAACCGAACAGAATCATTTTGTAAGCATTTAACTGGAATGCATCATTTAAATGGTTACGAAAAATGGAAACGGCAGATTCTGCTCAATTTCTGCAGTCATTCTGTTATATTTCCGCTGACATCTTATCGACATAAATTGTGAGCAGACACTTTCAAAGTCTGTTCTCGACAGATTCAGGTTCTTCTTTTTCTTTCAATGTTCTTTTCCGTCATTTCTCTTTCTCCGCCTCGCCACGACCCGATATGCAAAGTAGCGGCCAATACATTATATTGACAGACGACGCGAACGTCGAAGGAACAAATCATTCAGATTTTTCGGCATCGCTCTCGAATGCGCGAGTGGAATAAAGTTCGAGTAGCGGGCAACAATGCGGGGTAATTGACAACAATCCGCGTTGGTAAACTCACCGTTGACGTCTAGTCGTACGTGTCCCAGACCCGCGGCACTGTCGGCGTACGCGATGAGTAGCGCAAGAATGACGAGTATCGCCGGGGCGATACTCATCCTCGCATAAATATCGCGCGGGACTACTCGTCGAGTCGCGTGTCCGTCGAAGGTGTGAATTTCAGTGCGACGCGCAGACGAAACAGTAAACTGCCGTCTCTGCCACGGCAACGGCATTTATGATAAATTCCGTCGATCAGGAGACCCACACTCCTTCCTACTCGTGGCGCGGCGTGTCTCGGCCGAGGGCTTTATCTTCCTTGGGCCGTCGAGTGGAGCGAAATTAGATAAAGACGCGTAATGAAAGTTCGTGCGCCGGATTATATCGATCGTTACAACGCGTACCGATATGTCACTCCTATATAGATCGCCCGTTTCTGGAATCTTCTCGGCCGGCTGGTACGTTAACCCGGGCAAAAACGAATATTCAATGAATTCTTAACGAGCTCTTAGCTAACGATTTCTCGTTATAATTTTACGCAATTACTTCAAAAATCGTGATAAAATGATAGTCCGCGGCGTTTAATACGGTAGTTCAAATATAATCAGTGATTAACATCGTTAACATGATGAATTTCATTTGTTATCTTTTGTGATTCAACGTCGAATTAAACTCGATATCGTTCCAATTGTCACGATTTCGATCCATACTCGATTCTCCAAATAGCTTGATTTACGACACCTAATTTATTCAAATAATGATTTCTCTCGAGTAGGTACACCAGAGTGTTTCATCAATATTATAAATCTAACTAAATAATTACTGAATTTTTCACGCGCTATACAAGTGCTTGTTAATTATCGTGTCATCTCTCGTGGGCAAGTAGAGCGAGTTATGAATAGAAAAGTCTTTTATCGTGTTTTGCGAGTTCCTCAATAAATTAATAAAAAATTAATTAATTAAACTTTGCGAATCAGCGTGCATCTAACGATAAAGGATTTTTTAAATTCAGTTTAACCCGTTCTATTTACTCACGAGAGATGCCACGGTAATTACTAAACATCCAGTGTGCAACCACAGTCGGTATAATCAGTGTGAATGGATAAAAACTTTCTCTAACTCTATCGAAATATAGATAACAGAAGGAGATCGAGGCATCGCACGCAGTGTTTTATTAATACTAATCGGCAGCAGAGTATTTTTCAAGATCCAATCTTGAGATTTATCTCGAGCTTATCGATGTATATAACGAACGATATAAAGGCGATTTCTGATAACGATATTCTGCCACATTATGAAAAATATATTAATCTGTCGTGCGCGTATAGATTCTTGCGTGTAGAATTCCACAGAATTACTTTCGAGATTTTCGTAATAAAAAGATCAAAAAAATATTTATAGAAATAAAAAAAAATCATAAATGCTCGATCCAAGCAAAACTTAAAAGAAAAGATCAATTGGCCAATAATGAGCACAAAAAGGTGTTGGTAAAAGATAAAAACGCAAATTTATTCACAATATTATGATGAAACGCATTATACGTTTCGACTTACTAATTGCAAATCTTCTTCAGCAATCAAAATATAATATGAGAATTAAAGTAAGTACTTCATAACAATAGAATAAATAACAAGTGAAAGAAGATTAATAACAGAAACTAAGTAATATGGAAATTAAAACATATAATAAGAAATAGAACAGTACAAATGTAAACGAGCATACATTATATTGATTGTATATAAAAGCTTGTGATAAAGGAACGAACATATAGTCAAGAAAAATTGAAAAATTTTTGAAAATTAATCTAAAAAATATAATACAGTGTAATAAAACTGTATTAATCAAAAGCTTGAGACTACATATAACATTTAAAAATATTCCAGTAAGACACAACTTAAGTCCGAGTCATGCCTCACTCATTGTTTTTTTTCTTAATTTGAAAGTAAATAGGCATTATAATTAGCATAGTTGTATTTAACATAACATTGTTTAATTTCAAAAAAATGACTACAATAATGGAGCATTTTTTCTAAAATTGAGCTATGGGCTGTTTTAAGAAGATGAGTGAAAGGGAAAACTCTTCGGAAAAAAATTAATAAACTTGTGTGGATGGTTTATCTAGATTAATAAAAAAGTGATCAAATATAAGAGTTGCTACTTGGACAAAACAAATATTTAATATTATTTTAGAAGATAGGTGGAAGTCTTCACAGTCTTTCAGAAAAAATACATAAATTGTTTGATTTTATTTCATGTAATAAACATTTTCAATTAATGGTCTCGTACTACCTACGTATATAGCTTACGTAGGTTGCATTCTAATATTCACTGCCAGTACTGAAAATCCAGGGTTGGTTGTTTACGCGTAAAATATAAATAATAATCGACTTCTATATGTATTATGTATACAATGTAAATGATGTTTAACGTGTCATGTAAATAATGCATTGTTGAGTAATCTATGAATCATCGAATATTTATATTTCGTCAGAAATATTGGAAATTTATGTTTTGTTTGCAATTTTATTTTCAGTTACTATTATTTATTTTGGCACAATTTTTAAAACGTAACAGAAAATTAACAATGGTTTGAATTTATACCTGTAAAAAAAACATTGTACATATTATGTGCTTGTTTTTAGTCGTTTAATAGTTTAAATAATATAACGTTTCTGTATTAGTATCATATACCTTTTATGTCACTGTACAGTTAATAAGTAAATTATAATTGAAATGCATCTAATCGTGACGTAAACTTTCAATACTGGTAATGAATATCGAAATGTAGCCATAATAGATGTAAATGTATTAATCGCCGGGTTAATTATTCTTTCACAAATTGCGATTATTTTTTCTTCAGAAAAATACTAAAAAAAACGAAAAATTCTTGCCAACATTTGATTTAAAAAATATCAAACAATTATGAAGCATAATATGGTGCTTTTCTTGATTTAAAAGTGTTTATATTTTATAATAGTAAAATGTTATCTCGCACAGAATGATTTTGTCATTAAATATACTTTAATGCATTAACATAATTACATGAAATTAAGTCATTGTTATCACAAGGTGTATTTACTTATTCCGGTTTTTCAGGAAACGCAACTTTCGGTTTGTTAGACGATTCCGCTTCTGGTTTATTAGCTCTATTAGATCGAAGCACTGCGCCTGGACTGGGATACGGCCTCATTTGATAGAGAGGACCCGAAGCGGTCGTATCGGCACCAGTTTTAGCCTCGTTATGTTTCGCCAATCCATCTGACCATTTTCCCCTGCAATGTGTGATTAAATGTAAATAAAAATTACATAAAATACACATATGTCAATCTGCAAACATTTGTAAATAGGAATACGTACCTGGGAATATCGCTATAGGATGCTGGGTCCATAGGATCCAAAGTACGATCTTTCGTTTCTTTACCATCAGTTCTGTCAGATCTGTAAGTTCTTTTGTTATCTGGTCCTTTATATCTTGTACGTTGATTTTCGATCTTCCTATCTTTTTTGACAGGTTCACTTTCTTCCACCTGAATAATCACAATGTTAATGTTAAATTGTGAATTGTATAATATTGTAAATTGCAAATTTATCATCGCATAAAAAATATAATTACTAACTTCCATTTGTTCTTGATCGCTAATACTGTCATCGCTCGACATGTTATCATCTTGATCTCCTGCTTTCAAATGCAATTCTTCGCGTAATTGGGATGCAGGTTGTGATATTTGACATTTGGGATGGCCAGGTGGTAACCAAGATACCAGATCGGACGACCAATCCCAATAATAATGCTGCCCACTATGAACAGATAACAGATAGGTTTTTTTTTTATAGAATATCTTATACAATGAGACATTGAAAATAATAGACATAATTTTAATCTTATTCCAAATAAAATAGCTACAGATTATTGCTAATACAAGAATTTAAATAATTACAAAAGATATATATAAAAATCGATGCTTATTTTTGGAAAAAAATAGAATTTATTCATAGAAGGCTAAGAAATTATCGATACTTACGATCCGGGATCGTAAACGGCTTTCCAAGTCTCTGGCAACGGATACTTTTGAATTAATCTCATTTGTTGTTTCAGATATTTGTCCGAAGGTTGCACGTGTCCCATTCCCCATAACTCCTTACACTTTTTCGTACATTCATGATAAATATTATATTTGTTAGGACACCCACTGTAACCCTAAATAAAATATTTTAACAATTTAAATCATTGTTTCATTTCGAGAAATTAAATGTTGTTAATTTGTAGTTACACTTACCATAAATTTTTGGGATATGTCAATCTGGTTGATCTCTTCTTTCGTGTTATCATAGTCTTCAGCAATTACTTCTTCATGCACTTTCTTCTTGGTCTCTTTCTTTCCGGATTCTGTAAAATTAATTGCACAATCTAACATTACGAATGCATGTGACAATACAAGCTTTATAATTCGTACAATTATTTTTTATTAAATGGGAGAAAATTAATTCGATATACAGAAAATTTACAGCAACAACAACAACAATTGTTCAATTGTATTTTATAAAGTAAATGTACCATGCTTCTCGGATCCAGTGATCAATCCTCTCTTCGCAAGACGCGCAGCTAATGCTGCCGGCAAAGGCATTTTGGATTTCCTCGATTCAAACTTTCAGAACTTTATTTACCAATTATATAAATAATGCAGACAGTTTGTTTTTTAATATAACTCAAACGTGATAACTGAACTCTCTACAATTTCAAGTGACAAATCTCAATCGCGATTGTTTACAAAACCGCAACACGAACACGATGCGTATTTAAGAAATAAACTTGCTAAACAATAAACTCGTTAAAGCCAAGCGATCGGAAAGCTTCCGATGGAAAGAGCACTGAACTCGAAAATAAATACAATAGATATAGATTATCCCACTTGCTGGTTTTAATTTTAAGCTATGTACGACAGGTTTGAGGTTATATTCGGATTTTCATCTCTGTCTCTTCTCTTCCATGCGTTCCAAAACTCATAGAAAAAGACGTTGAAGAAAAGAAAAAGAAAGAAAATGCAGCTTAATGGCTCTTAACGATTCTTCAATACGATTGGTTCTTGCTTTCAGTTCCTCGTTGGATCTAAACGTAGAAACCAATCGTAATAAAGAATCACTGAGCGTTCATTGGCGTTCGCTAAATTGCTCCACTGCGAAAAACGCAGCCATGTTCATATTGTTCATTCAGCAACGCGTGCGGTTATGCGGACGCAGCGGACGGCCCATAAGTATCGCGCTATCACACTTCAATGGCCCATGTCTATCTAACGAAACTGCAGGTTTCGTGACGGTAAAGCGTAGTCCAGTGTCGACGCCCAGTTTTTGCGGTGTGAGTGTTCAATTTAAATTTCCTATATCTCCCTCGACCGCGTTACCCTTGTCGTCGATCCACGGGGGTCCCGGGGAGCACGACCTCGTGTACGTTGCGCGGTACTCTCGGCCGCGCGTTCACGCCGTTTACGGACGATACGTATTTGACATAACGATCAAAATGGCGACTCCGAAAACAATTGTTACTCCAGCGCGCTGATGTGCCACTTCACGTGGGGCACCTCCGCCTCCGGTCACCTCTCGCTTCTGTCACACAGTAGATTTTACGTTCAGCCACGAGTGTGGATTACGCCGAGATTACGTTATTCCGCGACGTACTCGCAATCGGACGCGCGACGAATGATTTCTCCAATTGGTGCGACAAAACCAATTTGCCGCACGTCGATACTTTGCCAATTATAATCGCTGCGACTCGCGATGGTGTATTCTCGCGCATAAAAGAGGTTTGCACGCAATAATAATCGGTCACTACCGGCCACCGCATTATTGTGTTGCGCGTATAATTAAGTTCAATTGCGTAATTGCCCATTTTTCACTGGCATTGTAACTTGTCTTTTGTACTGGTGACTGAAAGCACGGTTTAAAAATCCAATTCCTCAATTTTTTCAGACAAAAGGATGCTACGTTACGTCTGATGTTAGATTTTATTTACGTTATATTGTATGTTTGTATTTAATATTCAGTCTAGGACTTTTCGATCGAGAATAATATACTCAATATCGAGAAACTATATTTAATACACCTTAATACGTTATAACCATATGTCAATATAGATCTTTGAGGTGACATATTTATTTCCATGATGAACTATGCAGTCTAGTTTATGCTTAATTAATAATTTGATATCAGAAACAAAGATAAAAGATACTGTGATTTATATACCTAAGGTTTGCTTTTTTATTGCTGCACTGGATTATTGCTAAGATTTTTCTTCCTTTCGTCAAATTTCAAACATATACTTATTTTACTTTACAAGTGTATCCTAATTGAGCTTTTTATCCCATAGAAGAGACAAAAGATGTAGAATTGATGGACATTTTATTACAAAAAATAAATTGTTATACATTCAATATTATAAATATAATATTCAATTCTTTAATAAAGAATTAATGACACATAAATAAACCATTACAATTGTCACTGATTATATTCTTGATGTAATATTTAAGCTGTTAATCAAAGGGAATAATAAAATATGTTTTTACTGTTCTTATTTTCCGCAGGCATTTGACGGAGTTCGAAATGCAGACAATAAAATGCGTAGTGGTTGGTGATGGAGCAGTTGGTAAAACTTGTTTGTTAATCTCTTACACTACGAACAAATTTCCATCGGAATATGTCCCGACAGTATTTGACAATTATGCAGTCACTGTCATGATTGGCGGTGAGCCGTATACCTTAGGATTATTTGATACAGCCGGTAAATATTGTCACTAGTTTATAATACAATTGTTTGTGTTAAATTATTTCAAATGATATATACTTAATATATACAATAATATTAAATAAGTTATAATAAGATAGAAAAGTTTATGTTAGCAACAGTTTAATTAGATTTTTTGATATTTTTTAGGCCAAGAAGACTACGATCGTCTACGTCCATTAAGTTATCCGCAAACCGATGTATTTCTTGTATGCTTTTCGGTTGTGTCGCCATCATCGTTTGAAAATGTTAAAGAAAAGGTACATAATATAATCAAATTTAATCATTGTTATATCAAATATTTTATCTATAATGTCCTCATGTATTCACAGTGGGTACCGGAAATAACGCATCATTGTCAAAAGACGCCGTTTTTATTGGTCGGTACGCAAATTGATTTACGGGATGATGCGGCCACCATTGAAAAGCTAGCAAAAAATAAGCAAAAGGCTATTTCGAGTGAGCAAGGAGAGAAACTTGCTAAGGAATTAAAAGCTGTAAAGTATGTTGAATGTAGCGCTCTTACACAGGTATGTTAGTAATCTATTTTTTTAAATCTATTTAATAGTATTTTTTATTAATTAGACAACACAAAGATTTAAAAGATTATTCTCATAAAAGTTTTAAAGATTATATTGTGTAATTAAATATGAAAATTGATTTTTTAATTAGTTAATTTTGTTCCTATAGCTGTGTTTTTTATATTTCAGAAAGGACTTAAAAATGTCTTCGACGAGGCGATATTAGCGGCTTTAGAGCCTCCAGAACCTGTTAGGAGAAGAAGGTGTATTATTTTGTAGAAGGCGTACGACTTTTTTTATAAAACTGTTAGTTCTACAGTAACGAAGACTGTAAGTTTCCTCATATACACTGCATGCAAAAGTTTTACAGTGACAATTGTTAAATTCTAAGGCATATAATAAGTATTTTATAACATTGGCGGCATATACGTGGATATGAAGCAATCTTTATCTATATTGGCATTATATAAATTTTATAATTATGAAATTGTAATTGTAATTATTAAATTATATCTTTGCCTTGTATAATGAATGTTATACCAACATATCTCGTATTATTCTGTGTATCTCTGTGTTTGCATTGTGGCGATCAAATGTAGGGATTGTCTGATCACAGAATGTTAAATGAGAGATTCAAGAGAATTTAGGGATATATTATATATAATATCCGTATACCCATCGTTAAAAAAAAAAAATAAAATAATTTTGCTCAATATAAAATGTTTCATAAAGAAGATCGTACGTTTTGTATAATTTCATTGATTTACGATATGACGTACACGTATATGCGAGAGTATAATATCATTGATTTCCGCATTTTCTAATATATTTCGTATATTAATTAAAAGTTTTTCGTCCTTTTGGAGTGCTCTACTCTTGATTTTCTACATTTTTTAAGGTACATTCTCTCTGTGGTACCTAATATATATATCATATATACACACAAACACGTGTGCGAATAAAACTATCGATAGATTTAATTATTTAACAAATCAATAAATTTTGCATTGTACCTCAAAAAAAGTATTTAAATGAGAGTTACAATGTATAGTATAACGTGTATCGTTATTATGATTTATAAAAGACGACAGGAAAAAAGAAATTCTTGTTATTATGGGATTGTGTGTAGAAACATCGCACGCGCGCATACATGTCTTTAGATGTAGCTAGATTCTATCGTCATATCTATGACATTTTCTTGGTGGCCATATGTTATCAGCAAAACACATATACTTATGTTAATATATTTGATTAGTTTAATATATTTCATTGCAATCATACTTCTCTTTAGTCATTTATAGCCTTATACGGTTTAGTTATACATCAAGTATCATATTTCATCCATGTAACTTCTATGTAGATCTACAGCTTCTACATTGATTACATTGAAGGATATTCGTAACCATTTATTTAAAAATATAATTACTAATGTTCTATATAAAAATAGAATATTCTAAATCTATTTTATTTAAGAAATTTTTATTTTATTCTTATTTTTTATTATTATTACTATCATCTCTTTGAATTAAATTATAATATGTTACTGAGATATTGCACAGCATACACATAAATATATTATTTTAGTAAATTATTATATAAAATGTATATTATATTTCTTACGATCAAACAGATAGACTAAGATAATACAACAAAATTTTAAATTTGGATATTACACATAATATTAGATATTATTGAAAATATATCTTTTTTTTCAGTGTTAGTTAATAATTTCAGTTTAAAATATCATTTGCATAATATATACCTAAATAATATATGAAAAGATCTTTTTCTTTGTTGAAAATAAAATGATCTGAACGTAGTAAAATAAAATGCTAAATATTAAAGATTTTGTTTAAAAAAAATTTTTTTTGTTAATATATCCTAGGCTAACCCGAACATCACATTTGACTTGAATCGGCCTTGAGCTTGAAATCTTTTCTTTTTGAGTATATAAGTTTCATTTCCGAATCCTATATACATTTTATTCCAGCCATGCGTTATATACAGCCAAAGAATCAAATCAGGTCGAAGTACGCGGATTAGAACTGTGTAAATTTTTATCGAATATATATTTGGTCGAAGCGTTTTGTCTATGTAGATAAATCTGCAAATTATATTATATAGGCAAATACTTAGATTTTTATTATTTCTGTTCAATATTTTTTTATTGTACAATATTATATTTTATTGTAGATAGATATCTTTTTTATTTTTAATAATTGCATCGCAATTTTTACCGTAGCTTGTCCTATATCGTATTATCATTTATTTTGTTGCGATTTTGTGATTTTTTTTTTAACGGAAATCAAATACGTTTACGAGTCTCTATAAGTCGTGACAAGTTAAGATTGTTTTCTTAACATGCGATATTATAAAAATTTATTTTTAAGTAATCGAACTTTTTATGTTCGACATGTAGCAAAATTTACTACGTAAATGTATACTAAAAGTATACAAGGATGAATCGGATTATTGAGTTTAGCAGAGATTTGTAATGAGTTGCAAATCTCGTATCATACATAAAATATAAAATTAAAAATTATTAGTTATATGTGTGAGAGCCCGGAAATTTTTATAAGAGTTTAGTTGTAAGATATGCGCGCGTGCGTGTACATGAGTGTATTATTAGCTAGGAAGAATATTTATATATTTTTACCATAGCCGAAATGTTTCTTTTGTATACACACTGACATTTTAGTCATTCTTGATTCCAGAACTACAAAAATAAAGATGTTTATAATATAATGTATAATTCTCCTATGCTTACCAATTAAGTTAATTCGTAACATTTTTTAGGACAAACTGCGCAATCGGAGAGGAAATGTTTCACATAGTCGCGTAAAAATACTCCAGCAAGCGAAAATTCGCTCGTTACCGCACGGCGCAAAGTTTTTAACTGTTTAATATGTAAAACGGTTTTAAATATAAGAATATTAGTAGTGTGATTTTTTAATAAATTGATTTTTTAAATAGATTTGAATCCTTTTTATTTCGCAGTTATAAATTAATTCATCCCGAAACTTCAGTGTGTGTGTGTGTGTGTGTGTGTATATTTTTCTTTCTCACAAAAAAAGATTCCTAATTTAGAAATTTAAAAAACCGTGACACTTTAGCAATACATTGAGAATGTTCTGATATGCAACAAGTAATTTTTTTCGTTGTCCAAATTCACTCTAAAAAGATAAAATCAACCCTTGGAAGTTGGCCCAGTTTTTTGTTTTATTATTCGCCAATAAAAGGAAATAGAACAAAATTTTATAGAGGAAACTTATTTATTTTAATGAGATTTATCGATTACAAAACTTATCAATTCTTTATTACAAAGTAAGTACAAAGTAAGTGTTACGTAAAGTAGTTATAAAGTATTTAATGAAAAGAAATGAAAAGAAAAAGCTATGTTGAAAGTTATAACGATATCGAGAGTATATTCCTCCCGCTTTTGTTTATAAATTTTTTAAATAATTTTTTAAACTATTGATAAGTTTTCTAATCGATAAATTTTGTTAAAAGAAATAAGTTTTCTCTATGAAATTTAGTTCTTTTTGTTTGTGAATAATCAAACAAAAAATGGGCGAATTTCCAAAGATTGATTTTACTCTTTCAGGAAGAAATAAGCTATCATTTTTCTTGACTAAACTCAGTCAAGGAAAATAATAGCTTATTACATATCAATTCTCTATTTATTTGTCAAAGTTTTATAATTTTCTGAATTTCTGTGAGTTGGAGGTCTCCCCTTGTTAGTGTACTTTTTATTCATACACGTATATATGTTTACAAACATCTTTGTTCATTTTTATATGTATACAGTGTGTTTTATTCTTTCAACGTTCCGTTCAGTGAACGCTTGCAACGGTACGACCGTCACTACAAGTTTTATGGTCTGGTTTTATTTTCAGTAAGTAATTTCAGTCGTAGTGCTAGTTGTGGCATATCCGGTTTTCGGACATTATTATCAGACACGCGAGTTCGACTCGCGATTGAATTCGGATGATCCCGTGAACCATTACGGTCTCGTACATTCTACGGGTACCAACGTACATATACCGCACGTACAAATATAATATTTTCTTTTTTTTCTTCGCCGAGCGATATAATCCTGCAATTGAAGTGACAGCGGAACGTAAACTGAGTTAATTGGAGCGTGCGTACTGGACCTTTTATGTGGAATTCACAAGCTGACACGGATATTCCGCAATTTATCCGTTGCAATTGTTACAGCCGCTTCTCCCATTTGTCCGGCGAAAAGCGAGAAAATAATATCTCGCCGCTTTTTTTTTTTTTTTTGCAATCGAGAGATATACGGGCGATGGAATTGTCAGAGTTAGCGGTTAGAAATTCAATGACGCAGGTGGCACGATCGTTTGAGAGATGTAAGGATTATTCATGACTCCGCGGGGTAATAATTACGAGAAACGATCTTCGTGACCGTGCTGAGCGAGAGAATCGCATTATATAACACCATACTCCGTATTCAATTATCGGCGATTACAGAACTGTAAAGAGAAAAAAATAACAGCCTAGATTGCGCATTCATTTGGATTGGAATGTAAGTATACCTTGAAGCACGGAGGAGCGCGGTATGTATCGAAGCTGGTGATAGATCTTTTACACAGAATTTCTCAGGCCTTGCGCGGTTTATAAATAATGGCGCGACGCCGGAATAATTATACGTACAGGGTTAACCAGAGTAACTGGAGCAAAGGGATAATCGTGACACTGAAATAGAATCGCTTTAAAATGTGATAAAAGTTCTGCTATAAAGTTTATACATCACGCAGAAGTAAAGTAACGCTTAAAACCACATCTCTGGAAGTAATAAGGAACGATGGCGCATAAGGGTTGAAAAAAAAAAGATGTGCCGAAAGGAACATCCGAACGATTTCAAAACTAGGTCATTGTTCCGAGGATTCGGATTTATAAGTATCTCAAATTGCATGCTTAGGAAATTAAAAAATGTATAATATTCGGGAAAAGATAGGTCTAGTACAGGTATAGTATAAAGAAAGAGGCTTTGAGAGAGATCTCGAAGATATCGTATCGTCAAAAGATTATTTAAGATCGAGACAAAATATTTGGCATTTCTCAATACGGAATCCTTATAAAAAAAGAAAGACATCTTGCGATAGAAAAGCGCTCCGAAGAGAAAAGGATGCGCTGAAAAGAGCGTCCGAACGATTTGAAAACTAGGTCATTTGATCATTATTCTAAAGATTCGATTTATAAGTGTATTTTAAATTGTTCATGAAATTTTCAAATATATAATATGATTGAATAATCGATTGACTTTTATATTTAAGATTGACCATCAGCCAACGGACCGTTGTTTCGATACAATGTGTCTGTTCCCTATAAATTATTTAAATTGTTTATTTATGAGACTAATTTTATGTCTGCTTAATTTTATCGGGTTCATCTAACAAATGACGAAGACTGATTGTAAGTCGAAACGTGTAAACTATTGTTATTCTCATTATACAATAAAAAAAAATTATTATTACATATGAATTTTAAACCAACATTTATTTATTATTTGCTCGGAGATTGGCCGTATGACCTGTATATTTAGTTTCGCTATTGTCGAGTTGTATGTGCTTGTTTTTTAATCAAATACGTTCGGGATATTCGGGAAAAGAAAGGTGCGATACAAAGAAAGATCTTTGACCTCAAAGATACGTATCATCGAAAGATCACTCAAGATCGAAAAAACATTTCACATTTTTTCAGAATAGAGAATCCCTATGAAAAGAGAAACCTTGCGCCTTGCGATATAGGAAACCCTCCTGAAAGAAATGACAATAGATCCGTTCGGATCGCTGTTCCGCTGCTCCGCTACGCGGACATGAAAGACGCGCGGTAGGCGAAGGACGCTCGCGAGGGAAATTGGCGGAATGTTAATCGGGTGGTGCATTAACAGCGACTCTCGCTCTCTCTCTCTCGGTCGATGTTTCGACCCATTTTAGAGCCTTGTGAATTTGCTAGCAACAACTCGGCCGACGTTGCTGGAATGGAAAGTCGTTCTCGCCGGTACGATCAGCGGGGGCATGGTCGACGATGGTAGCGGCGGCGGCGGCGGTGGTGGTGGTGGTGGTGATGGTGGTGGTGGTGGAGGCGGCGGCGGTGGAGGCGGCGGCAGCAGTAGTGACGGTGACAGTCTCGGTCGGCGCGTCACGACGAGTAACGCTCCGCTAAACTAAACGTCGACGTCGCTCGTAAAAGAATACTATAGTTGTGCGACCGGAGCAAGGCTGCTCCGTTTCATTGATCCTCCCGTGTTCGTCTCGCGAGAGCCGTTTTATTTTACTCGCCCTCGGGGCAGCAACTGTCGAGGAATCTCAACGACGGCGACGACGACGACGACGACGACGATGGGAAGAGTAGCGCGAGCGCGGTCGCGTGCGGCCGTCCCACCGACGGACTCACATTACTCCCGAGCGTGATTCCTCCAGAGGCGGTGGAGGGAAGAGCCCTCGGAACTTGGAAGCGATCGGCCTCGTAGTAGTCTGTAGTAGTGCAACGGCGGTCGCGGGCAGCGACGGACTTCACGAACCGATCGCGGAGTCGTGTCGCGTGCGTCGGCGGTCTTCTCGGCATTCGTCACGCGAAATCGATAAACGGGGACGTCGCGAAAGGGAGAAAGAGAAAGACAGAGAGAGAGAGGAGAGGCGGTCGCTTACGCGCGCACGTTACAATTCGCGTCGTGAAAGGTGCTAAAAACGAGGACTCGAGAGCGCGAGAGAAAGAGAAAATAAAGGCTTTCGGGGGATAATTGCAGGAAGCGCGAGTGACGGCGATCGCGGTTGGACTCGACTGGTCGCGGTGCGATCCTCGGCGACGTCTCGCTTCGCCGCCGCGCGCGGACGTCGTTCTCTCGCGGCGAGTGCGCAACGAGACGGCTCTCTCGGGCGGTCGAATTCGAAGGAAAGTACCCCCCCGCCCTCGCGGTTACCGTGGAATCGTCGCTTATACCGTATCGTCCCCTCGATCTCAATGGGACGTCGCGGTCGCGCGGCGACGTATCATAGTAACCTTGAGTCCCCGTCAAGGTAACCGGGATCCTCCGCGAGCGACCGCGCTCGGGTCTCCGCCAACGTCGGGGAACGTCGTTGGTGGGACGCGAGAGCGCGGCGAGAGCGCGATTATCCGCGAGATGAAGAAAAGCTCCAGCATGCCTCGATCGATAGGCGCACGGCCTTCGCCGGACTGACTTCCTCGCGCACGCAACGCGAGACAGAGAGAAAGAGAGAGAGATAGAGAGAGGGAGAGCGAACGCGCGTCGCGTTCACCAAGGCAGAGCACGTGCACGCCTACGACGGACAACGATAACGACGACAACGAGGGTCGGACGCAGGATTCGGCGAGTGGTCGTTCGCGGCAACCGGGAGCGACGGGCAGGGGCAGTCCGAGTCGAAGCATGTGATCTCCGCGGGGTTCATCGATCATTACGCCGCCGCGTCGCGCCGCGCCGCCCCGACGAAGAGAGGGATCGGAGGGATGTTGCGGCCGCACGTCGGCAGGATTACTTAACGTTCGGCCGACCCCATGCGTGTCCGACGGTACACGTCGATGGCCGCGCGCGCGCGAACCGATGCGAACGACCACGGGACCTACGGGGTTGTCGAACGACGATGAGCGATAACGCCGGCGTGTAGACAGGTGGAGTATCGTTGGCCGCGCGAGAAAGTGTGTAACGCGCGTTGCCGCCGCGAGTCGTGGGAACGCGAACGCGAGCGCGAGGGACAGGTAGGAAGCCGCAGCACAGGTGGCGGTGGTAAGGACGGACAGCGACCAGGGCGAAAGAGAGAGAGAGAGAAAGAGAGAGAGAGGGAGAAAGAAAAAGAGAACGAGAGGGGGGAATCAGAGAGAGAGAGAGAGAGAGAGAGAGAGAGAGAGAGAGAGAGAGAGAAAAAGAAAGAAAGAGGTATAGCGCTCGCTGTGTTGTCCTGAGGGGCGAGACCAGCAAGGACTATGGAAAGGTGTACAATGGAAGGATGTACAACATGTCGGTATAAGTGAATGACACTGAGAGGTAGAAAGAGAAAGAGTGAGAAAGAAAGAGAGAACGAGAGAGAGATAAAAAAGGAAAGAGAAAGAAGCCCCGACAATGAAGGAACACGGCAACAAACAACATCCGGCGGAACCGGCGGCGAAGACGCTCAAGTCGCTGCTGAAGAAGCCGGGCCAGACCAAGGCGAAGTCGCAGAAGCATCGCGTGGTGATCAACGAGAAGCTGAACGAGTTCTTCGCGGCTGACTACATAATACTTATCAAGGAGGAGTGCTGCGCCGATTACGAGGAGGACTGCGACTGCTGCTACCAGGAGCACGAGTTCATGCGGCTCGGCAACTGCAAGGAGTGCCGGGCGGAATTGAACTTACACTTCGGCATCGGCGTCGGTACCGGTACCGGCAACGGCAACGGCAGATACGGCGAGATGGCGAGGAGTGTAGAGCAGACGCTCTGCGAGAACGCCGCGCGGGATCATCGTGGCGGCGGCGGCGGCGGTGGGCCCCGCGGAAAGAGTCAGCAGGGTCGCGAGGACACGCAAACGGAGGAGGACGAGGAGGAGGATGAGGAAGAGGACGAGGAGGAGGTGGACGACGGCGAGGAGGAAGAGGAGGAGGAGGAGGAGGAGCGGGAGGACGAGGAGAATAACGTCGACGGGAAGGTGGAGAAGGTAGCGTCGGCGGCCACGTCGGTAGAAGGGAAGGACGTGAGGGACGAGCGAGGGAACGTGGACGCGGAGGACGCGGCGAAAGGACGTCAGCCGAAGGAGACCGCGAATTCCCAGGAGGAGAGCGGAACCGTGGTTCCGTCGTTGGCGGCGCCGCCGCCGCCGCCGCGGCACGATCAGCAGCAGCAGGAAACGCTCAGCCCGCCGGAGGGTTACAAGGACGTGTGCTCCGACAGCGAGATCGCCAACGAGACGGAGCAGCGTGGCCGCGCGTCGTCCGCGTCGTCGTGCACGGAGTGCAATTACTATCAGCAACAGGCAGCGGGTAAGCTGACTGGTAGCTTTGTTACGTAACGTTTTAATTTAGGTATTTTCTCGATTGATACCTAGACGACGACGCGGAAGACGGGACTTCCGTAACGTCCCCAATGCCGACCCTCTCTTTCCCTCGACTATTATGTGACGTTAAAGTATCTTTTTAGAACGATATTTTTCCCCCGTATTTACGCGTACGCTCACATTAATTCTAATAATAATTTACCTGTCGATTATCGAGACGCGACAAGTTATGATATATTGAAGGGAAAGCCAATTTCTTTATTAGAAGCCGTTATAGTTGGGTAATTGCGGAAATTAGCGGAATTACACTGAATATTATAATATTTGCCGATATGAGAATTTTGAATCTAACGAGGCTTTGGTATATCTATATCTGTATAAATATTCCCCCAGTAGGGAATTAACTTTGCTCAGCGCGGATTCCTTCAGCCCTCGAGATTCTCATTTAAATAATTGAAGATTTAAGTACAATCTCTTCTGTAATTGTATAAGAATATGTTTTAGTAAAAATATAGCATGCTGCTTGGTTAAATCACTTTTAGTTTTTGCAAAATAGCTAAGCTTTATTTATCGCACGACTTTTATTCGTTTGCAAACTTTATCCCTTTTCGTTGTATGAAAAAAAGTAACAATGTTAAAAATAATATGTATGATAAACACACGATACGCGTAAAAGATAACGACTTACAATTAATATTGTATTAAAAATACAGAACGGATAACAAGCTTACTAGATAATTTTAAAGCAGCTTCGAAGAGCCAGACAAATATTCTTCTTGTTAATACAGAAGAGAACAGTTTCGTAATATTCTGTAACGAGCAGTCGCGTAACACAAAAGCTTAACGTAACGTTATAAACCGTAGCGTACACTTGAAACTTCAACATTCAGAAAACTTTTGATGCTTACCACGTTACTGATTAGAAAAGGAAAGAAAGTCTAATGCAGCCCGTTATTATCATCCAGCAACCGTGTAAAATATTCACTTGAATCACAAGAAGCACTCGCAACGTTAATCCTCCCGCGGTACACAATTATAATCATAACGGGCATAAGACTGCACGTTGTTTCTCCTTTTTTTTATCGTATTATTATAAATAATTTTTTCGAAAATTTAGAATTATTTGCTTCTTATTGAAAATTTATGCAGTAATTTTTATTTGCGGAACAGTTCCAGATTTCTATTGATCATATCTGAATTCTTTACGGAGAATTTCCTTTGGAAAAATTTTACTGATCCATTCTTCATCGAATATTGCCAAAATTATCCTTGTAGAATTACGGTAAAATTTCACAGCTTTAAATTTTTCTATGTTCATCATGAATATAATTGCAAATAAAATTTAATACTATTTGCATTTTAAACGCTCGTATCAATTTGTAGTTGCTGTAGTTGCGTACTAATCTATTTTTCGCTATTATTTTTACAATATAATATTTTTCGGAAAATATTTTTCCGTGTAGCTCGATTTAAAAAAAATAGGTATGTTATTTGATAGTATAAGTTAAACAAAAATTGTTTGATAAATCGCAGATTTATTTTTGTCTTTGAAGATCGATTGCCTGAAAAATAACTTTTGTGTAGTTTTCACAAAAATGGCCTACAGCGTGAAATAATTTTTTTGCGATAAGAGAACAGTTTCGAAACGTTATAACGTATTACGCGCGCGCGCGCGTATTGTAATATGAAACAATAATTCAATAATTGGAAACAATATATGCTAATAATAATTCATATATGCTCTGTGCTACACTATAGCACGCATGATGAAAGTAATGATGCTACATATCTGGAGTTGAATCTATCAGCTTTAATGGAAAGGTGCAAATTAGAGGAATTGCATCGTTGCTCAGCTCTTTTCTCACACATAACCGAGGAACAGTCCCACGATATCCCTTCACACAGGATGCGAATATAATAATGGTATTGTTTTTCATGAGTCTAGCCACGGTTGGTAAGCCGTTTAAGAACATAGCTGGATTTTTATGCGCATTCTTTAGAATACCAAGGGAGATTCTCAAAGGGAAATATATATCTGTATCTGTATATGAATATTCAGAATTGTTCTATTTCGATAGTTAAATTGTTCTATTTCGATAGTTATAACGTAATGGCTTCTTATAACGTTCGCTTTTTTTTTAACTATAGTTAAATGGGCAGACACTGTGCCGTAAATATTGTACTTTTCTCAAATTCGATTCTTTGTCAGAACTGAAAAATCCGTAGATTGTGATTGTGCTTTCTAAGGAGAAATAAATCAAGTAATATTTTTAATGTCGATAGAAAAGGGAAGCTCCGATGATCCGATGATATATTAATCGATTAAAAACTACGATCGGATCTACAATCGCGGTCACAAAATACTAATGTATGTAGATACGGAGTATAGGCTTATTCGCGTATCAACGCTCACCGGAAGCGCGGCCTAGCGTAACTCCGGTACTTCCCCGGGAGATACTCGGTAAGAACACTTATATTTCTAACCAAATGATTCGCATTTTACGCCACGAATACCTAAATTTTCCACTAGGCACCGTAAACATTAGACTGGGCACAGGGTGCTTGGGGATTTATACTAAAATATCTTCTGAGTTTACAATGAAAGAATAAAAAACATTCAAAGTACGACTCGAGTATTTTTTAGGGATTACATTTTGCATAAGTCTCATAGTCTGCGCGCACTCTGTGAGTTAAATAAACCTTCCTTTATTAGATTTATTAAAACGCGTCAGACATAAGAGTTCGCTATGTATAAAGAGTCTTCATTGTTGGCGCGTACTTCAGGTTCGCAACAGGTTGCGGTACATATGAATGTGAAAAAAAAAAAAATAAATGCATACTTCTCTAATGTGACATTTTTGAATAAGTCGCGTGTCGCGCCCACGCTTGGATACAAACGTGTGATAAAATTACACGAGGCAAATTATACATAAAACGGACTATTACGTCGATTAAATATATATTTTTTTCCTTAAATTTATGCCGAGGCAAAAGAGATCGTTCTTTCTTTGGCTCTCACGATTTTCGAAAAGTGCGCGAGATCGCGATATAAGATATTCTTCCGCTGCAAACCGTCCGATAAGTCGGAGACAAGCTTCGTTTTCTTGCGACACGGTGAATGATGTGATATGTCGCGAAGCTCAAGCGTTCTATAACAATAGAAAATATACGTCAGCGTTACTATTAATGAACGCCAGACTGCAGAAACTGCAGAAGTTATGCAAGCTGTGAATCGGTCGATACACACGGCGCGACTTTGAAAGTACGTTAAATATATCGATGGCCATCGCTTGATTAGAACAATAACTGTTCTAACAAGGAAACTCGTTCCCTTCGATTTTAATGACATTTAAGCGAGGCGTTTCTTCGAAAATTTCACGATTCCAATCGTCAAACCGCTTTAAAAGAAATTTAAAAAATAAATTTTTTAAAAAATTGTTTCTTTTTCTCATTATAGAAGCACTAGATTTATTTCTTTAATAAATATCACGGTACGCACCAACTTATAGCACCTCGGGAAAAATACTGTTACAATAAAAAATTTTGATATTGATTTAAGCCCATAAAAAATATGCTTAAAATGTTACCTACGTGCTATAATAGTGTTATAAAGCTATCTGCGAAATTCGCTGCACGGGGCAAAAGTGTCGTTATTTTTTTAAAACGGTTATATTACGATCCTGGATGAATAGTATCATAAGTGAATTGGCAAGTGAATCACAGCACCTTTTCGAGAAACAATGTAAGTTTCATAATAACAAAATATAATTGTAATTACGTTAGTTATTTCACAACTTAAAAAAATTATATTAAATTTGTTTTTCTTCTCTCCTAAAAATTGTGAATTTTTGAGTTGTGTATTTTCTCGGGATGCGATATGCGTACCAAAATTAAAAAAAAATTAGATATACAGCCAGGTTTAATTATGAAAAATGCAGTCGGTCTCTAGGATTTTGCGTAATTTCGTATAACGAGAGCAATTAAAACCTGACGAATGTACGGCGTTTACGCAGATTCAATTCGATCGACATTACGTTGTACCAAGCACGCCGAATTTATTTCGACTTGTGGAGCGCGCGAACGTCTTCGGGATGCGTTGCGAGATTATCTAGATTCGCGTATTTCTTCGCGGTAGACTTTTCACTCGAAGCTCAAACGCGAGTGTACGTCGCATCGAGGGAGAAAAATCGAAAAAGAAGGCGCGGCGTTCGAGGAAATTGCCGCCGCACGCGTTTCTCCTCTTGAGAGTTCTTACAATCTTAGTGATCAAGGGAAAGTACGCAATTTCTGGCACACCGCATATATCTCATCCGCGTATCTGCCGGGACGCGTCGTGATACAACACACCTGATAACAGATAAAACTTCCAGCGAGTTCTCAGCGAGATACTACAGTAAAGAAATGGCATTTGTATCGGACGGCACGACTCCGCTTTTCGCGGCCGTTAATATGTCAGATTTAACGGGCGGCGTAAAGAATTCCGCGTGGATCTCGTATTATCCGAAGATCGTCGGTGAGTTTATGAGATAGCGTATCCGTTTCGCGTATCAACTCATTGTTTCCGAAGGCCGCAATAAACGCGGCGCGTTTAATGGACTCATAATAATGCGCATAATTGCGCAAAGGCGTGAGCTAAGACGTATGGGTTCGATCTTGCCTCTTATGTTCCAGAATGCGAGTCGCAAGCGAAGGATCGTGGGAATGAGCAGGATACGCAGGGCAGCAAGGACACGGCGCACGACGGTCAAAGGAATTTGCAGGAAAAACTGGATAAACAGCATCGGGGGTCTCATCCCGGTATATCTTCCTTCATTTCAAATTACTCGAGTATTTTTATCGCAGAAACCTATTTTTAAAAATTGTCCCTCGGGCACAAGAATTTATTTATTTTCTTCGACTGCACCAAACACCGGTCAGTAGCATCGGTTTAATTCATTTAGCGAGCTTCGGAAAATATTGTAAGGCATCGCGTAAACGCGCGCGGAACGCGGATATTTGCTCACGTTTACAACTATGTAATAATTGATGACCATTAATCTCGAAAATGACGCAAATAAAGATGCGAAAGCCGATAAGCTCGCGAGTAAATTAGAGGTACACGTTGCGCGACGTATCTCGTTCTAACGCTCGTAACGCGCAACATACAGTATATATACTTACTCTCCGATATCCGAGATAAAATTTTATACGATGAAATGTTTCCTCGCGCACTAAACGGAAGCGTACGAAATTTAATTGCGTTTCGCAGCGCATTAATTTTTCTCGCTCGACTCAGTATACGGTAACTCTGTTCGTAGATCTGCACCATCGTTATCTCGTGGAAACAATAACGATGACGACTGTCACGGAGCGACGCATCGTGCGGGAAATTAGCGAGGAGGAGCGGAAGGATTGCTTCGGGCGATCCGATGCGGATAAAGATAAAAGCGTTTGCGATGCCCCGAAGGATAACGGTTTTAACCCGGCGCATTGTCCCGGGACCGGCGGCGGCGGCCCGATGTCGATCGCTCACGAGAACGCGCGGTGTAACGACTCGGACGTCACAGAGGATCGCGACGGTAACGCAAACGCCAAAAATTCGACGGGCAACGACAAAAGAGCGGCAACGACGGCGGAAGCGGAACGCATCAGCGATCAAACGACGCCGGGCGAGCAGTCGCGCGAGCAGGACGCGAAAGAGCTGTCCCTCGTTTTCAAGCTTGGCAACGTGTCCCTCGCCAGCAACAGCCTGAAGCCAAATTCCGCGGTGAGACAACTTTTTCCCAACCCGAAGTTTATCTCGCCGCCGCCGGTGCCGGCCAACAAAGCGAGCTCGTCGACCTGCCCGGAACACACTCAGGACGAAGCGCAGAAGTTTTTGATTACCGCGGAGAGTTTGCGGCTGTTCGACGCGGTGAAAAAGTCGACGGTCCCCGGTGGCTCCTACGAGTCGCCGGAGTGCGAGTCCAGCTCGATCAAGAGATCCATCGAGCGGAACACTCTGCGACGGAGTCTGATCGGCAAGTACAACACAATAACGCGAAAGAAGAACCTGCGGCCGAAAAATCTATCGCTCGAGGAGCGGATCAGGCAGCTCACGTGCGTGGATCAGGACGACGAGAACCTGGACACGACCGACAGTTCGGACAACACAAATTCCGCGAGCGACAAATACGGCGCCGGCGGGGATCTCTCGATACGAACGTCGCCGTTGGGCGAGGAACGGCCTATGTGCGAGTCGCTGCCGGCGAGCGTAGCCTCGACGGAAACCACTGCCATGTTAACAATGGTGACGACGAGATCGAACTCCTTGACGGCGGCGGCGACGACAACGACGACGGCGGCGGCGGCAGCGGCAGCGATGGCGACGTCGGCGAGTGCCATAAACACGCACGGACACAATACGATGGGAATGCCGATGTTGGTGACGGACAATCCGCCGAATCAATCCACCTACAGAAAGATCACGGACCTGTTCGCGCATAAGAAAAACATCCAACCGAATCTACCCGATCTCGGGATTGGCCCGGGTGGGAGAAACCTCCTCGCCAAGGAATGTCAGTCCAAAAATTCGCTGACGAAGATGAACTCGGATGTGCGAAGGCAATTGTTGGCGAGTCTGGCACCGCTGTCTTGCGTCACTGTCAACAATTCTGACGCTCAAGACGACTATTACCGAAACAACTCCAGAATGTTAACGTCCTCGAACCGCGAATCGATAAACTACAACTCGGATTCGTCGTACAGCTTAGAAGACATAGAAGCGGCTCTGAATGGCGAGGACAGAAAGTATGCCGGTCAACCGGATGTGACGAGATGTACGCCGATAGGTAGCAGACCCGACATTGGGGATAATACCGCCGACGAGTTGCTCGCGTTCGTCGAGCAGGACAAGTCGAGGATGGAGCGAATAAAACGCCGCTACAACGAGCCGGAGGACCGTTACTCTTTCATTAACGGCTACCATTCCGAGGACAAGGCCGTGAATACGTCGTCTGAGAATTACGACGGCAAGGGTGTTAAGAATCACGACGGCAGGGATGCGCAGGCGGATAACGAGGAGGAAGAAGACGACGACGAGCTCAACGATTACGGGTTCAACCGGCGACCGTCGGTGACGGGTATTAAGCAGCAGTACGAGGCTACCAATGAGGCCATCCATCGGGCGCGGTCTTGCGCCGGTGCGGTCAACAACGACGCGAGATCCGGCTCGATATGGCCGATATATTGCGACGTGAACGGCGACAAGATCGACGCGAAGTCCCTGTTGCCCGCCGACGGGGCGGACGAGGCGATTCCCATACCCGCGGAGGTGTACGGCACGATGGGGAGCTTTGAGCGGGACACAAATACGATCAATCGCATAAACACGATGCAGAAGCAGATCGACGACATATATCAGACAATCGCCGAGAGCACGGCGGTAACGGCGAACATCCAGGGTATCTCCGAGCACGCGACTTATCTGGAAAACGCGATACCGCGGCAGTTCGTCAGAACGCCATCCGTCGACGGCGCCGCGCATTTGTATGCCGAGCACAGAAACGGTCATCATTATTTCCAAGAGCAACAGCAGTTGTCGAGCACGCGCATGCTGCGTATCGCGGGTGGCGGTGGCGGTGGCGGTGGCGGCGGGACCGGCGGCGCCGGCGACGATATCGCGGGTTCGATTTACACCAACACCCTGTCGAAGATGCAGCGTCGCAATCCGCCGGTGACGATCGCAAACTATCACTGCAACGTGTTGCCCGGCGGTGCCGTGCCCGGCGTCAGCACCAAGTGCTACCGCACCATGTACTTCGTGCCGTACAGCGGCACATCGGACCCCACGTACCAGAACCTGCAGCGCATCCTGCCGCCGCACTCCTCCCCGAACTACGCCAGTCACATCGAGCGATACCCGTATCCCCGTCTGAACAAGACCAATCAGCAACAGGCCTTGTACTATAACGCGAATCGTTCCGCCACGTCGCACTCCAATTTAAATACATCGCCACCCATCCCACCCCCGCCGCCGCCTCCACCACCCCTCGCATCTGTCTCCAGCCCGAATTCCATGCAGAGCGCTCAGCAGGCTTTGCACCTACACATACATCCCCATCAGACTGAGGATTTCCGGTCGCCCAACATCGCGTTCTCACCCGTGCCTCACTCGGCGGTGCATCCCATGCAATTTCACCATCACCAGCATCAGCATCAACATCAGCACCAGCATCAGCATCATCACGGCGAGATTGCGTCGTACCGCGTGCCCATGGCGACGCAGCAGTCGCCACCCTCGTACACGGTGATCGCGCCCTCGAGATGCATCCCGGCGAGTAACCAGGACGGCTATCCGCTGTACCCGGCGCATCTGGCACGCGGCGCCGTTACCGCCGGTACCACCGCGGCCGCCGCCGCCGCCGCTGTCGCCGTCGCCGCAGATATGCAAACGCAAACAATCGCCATCGCGGCTGCCTCGTCGTTTTCGTCCTCATCATCCTCGTCGTCTTCCTCGTCCTCGTCGTCCTCGTCGTCGTCCTCGGCGTCAGCATCCGCCCTGTCGTCTTCGTCCTCGTCCACCTCGGCCGCCGCCGCCACCGCTTCCCTAAAATGCACCGGAATCATGACTAACAGCAACAAGAGCTGTGAGCCGTCCTACGGTGGCAACAACGTGCAATCCGCGTCGGGAAACGTCACTCCGCTCGCGTGTCCGGCATCCTCGGCGTCAGCGGCGCCGGCGACGGCCATCGTTGGATCTGCGGCGACGGTGATGCAACTACCGCGCGCCATCAACACGTGCGCGGTGACGGAACGCGGGGTTCCCGAGGGTGCCGCCAGCATGCCCGCCCGGGACTTCTCACAACCGACTCTCGTCCCTGCGAACTCGACGCCGCACGTCCTGTTGATGTCCAACTCTTACGTCGATCCCAATACCAATCTCATGTCTGCTCCGGCCAATGCCTCAAACACGGTGTACTACGCCATGAACGTCTGAAGGGACATGTAGAGACACGTCATGAGGAACAACATAGAGCTGCGAGAAACGTCCGAAAAGCACCTAGACAAACCTTGCATGGGTGTAGAACATCTTTACGATGTCTTGCGGATGTTGCGTTCCCCGGGAAGTAACTCTTTCACTATATGTCTCGAGTGATTTTGACGCGAATCGTAAGTAATTAACAAAGGCACGCGATGGAAAGACTCGCTACTCGCTGTCTTTTCCATCTGTTGATCGTACATATATGACAGAAATTACTCATTTTTGTCATTTATTAAAAAAGTGACATTTCTTGAGAGATGGCAGCTAAACGATTAAAGTGCAATCCTTCTTGAATTCTTTCTCGATTCGATTTCGTCTTTTTTGTTTTTCTATCTTATTTTATCTTATATTTATCTATAGTGTCAGTGTTGCATTTCTTTTCGACGACTGATTTTAGCCGAGAGAATCATATCCAAAGAGCCTGTTTCCTTCGATTGATAGACGTACGAGAAATGCACTTTTAAAGAGGTGACGAGTGACGAGTAACATCTCTCTTCAGACACGCGCGCATTGCGAACTTTTTATTAATATATATAGTATATATATATATATATCATAGCAAGAATAGGGTGAAAACGTATATGTGTACATGTTGTGCTAGATTACACTTACATTAAATACTCTCCGATATTATTTTCGTTACTTGATAACGCACGCGACTATCACGCGATCGTCCGTACGTTTTATCGCGGTATAATAATAAACATTAGTACGAAATATATTATATCACTTTACACGCTCGTTATCATCACAATATTGTAATACTGTACAAACTTTCTATGGCACTGTAGATACCATCACGCGTAGATCTATGGTTCTAGATTTGTTCCTATCTACAGCATTTTGTGGATATCGCGACAAAGATATCGATAGTACTTTGTGTTAGATAATATCATTATATTTATGATCTGGTCGGGATTGTTAATTGTTTTGAGTTTCGAGCGACGAGACTTTGTAAATCGCGGTCATTCCGGTCACGTTAACGTTAAATTGCATTGCGCGGGACGACAAAATGGGGCGAAAAAATTGTCACAATGGGAAAATATGTCGTAAGAATTTCTTTCCGAGTTGAGACCAGGGCTGCCACGTGTATTTGTATTCCACAAAAAGAGAGGAGAAACCGTCATCTTTACTGTGTGTATTTCGTAGTAAGATCGCTTCGATCGTTTTTCTTCTCCCCGAGCGGAGGACGCTGTTCGTGAATTTCACTTATACGCTTCATGCCAAATTAAGACGTATCAATGCCTCTAGTCAGTATAAAATTAGTCTACGATAAGAGATAGACGCCAAACGCCAAAAAAATAGAAAAAGGAGGAAGGATGCGATTTTTACCCTTAGTTAATTTCTTAGCGCGCCGTTTTTTGATTGACGGGCCGCCGGGAGCCTCAGGATCGTGTGACGGGAAAATCCCCCGCGGGCCCGTCAGACGCGCGTTAATCGAAACCAAAATTAACGTAGCGTTTCTGTTTACCGGTGTGTTAGAGAAGCGACGATGTGTTTAACGATAATTAAATTTCTTAATGACGACAAGTATTATGTACGCACAGGGAGTAAGTACAAAATGCTCTGCGATGGTAGAAAACGAGATATTTGTTACGACGCGCTCATCCTTCACTCACATACATTAACACACACATACACACATTACACCCACACGCTGATATATCAGTTTCAATGGGAACTTGTTGAAAGTACAACCATCATTTCATGAATATTGTCTCGTAGTTCGCATTCATAAATCATCTTAAAGCCAATATCAGACTACGGATTGGGATTGAGATTGGATTGAAATTTAATCAATCAGAGCAAAGTTCGCGAAACTTATGATTAGTTTTCTTTGTTCTGATTGATTAAATTTCAATCTCAATCTCAATCTCAATCCCAGTGTGATACGGACTTTACTCTATCGAAGACTCTCGATGGTACGCAGTTCGAATAGACAATATAGGGACACACGAATCTACCCCCCTTTTTTTAGCGTAGTGAGACCCTCCGCCGTTGATCGCTTCACTTTCGAAGCCCGTACCCCTAATACGTACAAGTAACCCCTCTAAGACGAGATCGAAGAATAATCGCACGGCCTATACAGTTTACTCAGCGGAAAACCAAGATAGATACTTATTTATTTTCTTCGTGCCAAATCACATTGCGATGACTCGCGGTGTAGCAAGATACGTGTCGCGACTTATGAGCGATCGAGATACCAAGGGCCAGGTAGATTGACCACGAGATAGATGTTAAACGCGTCTGACAGTCAATTACGGCGAAATCATAATCTTGACGGGACTTCGAAGGGCTGGGAAACCGAATGGAAACGTTTTTTATCACACCAAAAGGATGAGACGGATGCGATTCGATAACAATTTCCATTTAATAGATGTTAATCGATCGTAACGATGCGACAAGCGTTGGAAGGTGTCACTCTTCGATTTGTTATTCTCGCGCGAGAGTGTTAACACATGTATTGTTCAAACGATAACTCTAAATAGTAGGCTACTTATCACAGTGATACGTGAGATAGTAAGAACGGCGTATATCGTGAATATAGAAATTATAGATATTATTATTTATAATACAGTTGATATATATTATATATATTGTATATTATATTATTTATATTTATATATGCGTAGAAGATATAACGATCAGATTTTATTCTGTTATAGCGTTGTAATTCGTGAAATTCAATTGGAAAGTGATATGCGAGATTGATTCGCGATTCTTTGTTGATATAGGGTTTGCATGCATACGGAAAGCTCCCTTTTGTCGAGGAATCCTACGCGTTTCACGAAATTCACGAATATAGAAGATAACTCTGACCTTTTCGCGAGAAAAGGTTGAGTAGATATATGAAGTAAAACTCGGTCTACATCACATTGGCGGTGTATAAATAAATTATGGTAGGTGTATACATTCTGCGTAAAACAAATGTTGCGTGTCGGCAATACAATGTAAATCGTTGTATTGGCTTGACCTGATTACTTAATTAACACGTTACTTTTAGCAATCTTATATCGACGCAAAGTGCGTGCGTCGTGCGACACAGGAATTCCGCTCATTTATCGTACGTCTTATGTCTTACGCCTTATCCCGTGAATTCCAACTCAATTTATGACGTATGAATCACAGGGTATACCTGCGTAGTGTGATTATAATATGTTTTACACATCTATACCAAAGTTACATTATAACGGAAATTTAATTATACCATTGTTAGAAATTTAATTATACCACTGTTACAATTGTTCCGATATCATTCCAGACTCGAAAACGATTTTATCGAGCAAAAATCGTTTTATGATTTTAATTTCTCTCTCTCTCTCTCTCTCTCTCTCTCTCTCTCTCTCTTTTACATCATTACTTTTAGATCTATAGAGACTTTTAATATTTTTATAATTAGAATGTTAATGATCCTGATATTTTTATACCACGCGTTATGATGCTACTTTTAGAGAGTGGTAATCAATATTATAAGTATAGTTGTGCGGAAACAGGTCACGAGTTCTGTTCTGGGGGATAATTTTATAAAGAAAAAGCCTCTGAGAATAGAGAGGCTTCGCAGTATTACTGTGTTAACTTTACAAAATGTGTGGATATTATTGTTGTGATATTGTCACCTCTTCTGCCTCTCGCATCTTATATTTTCCCGCTGCCGCTTTCTATCTTGCTCAATTTTCTTATCAGGGACGTTTCATGAAATTTCCACGAAGGAGATCGGTTCTAACTGGTACAAACGTATCGATCGCGCTCTTAACACGTGTCTTTTATCTTGATTATTGATTCCATGGTGAAAAAAAAAATTGGAACGAACACCTGCGTGAGCCAATTGCGCTAGTATCAGTAATTGAAGTGAATATTTCCCGGGTTACCTTCCGCGTGCTCCAAGTAATTTTTCGAAGTGAATCTTCGCGCGGAAGACCCGAAGGAATATCCTTTGGGACACACCAACTCCATTCACCTCCCACGCCTCGCACATTTAATCTGTCAAATCTTTCGACTGGAAACACATGATCCCTCGGGTGTGACCGAGATATTTCTCCTCGTAAATCTCACTTCTCGTTAATGATCTTGTAACGCCAAAGATTCGCTTGCTGCAAATTTCGTTATCAAACGTAAGAACGTATCTTAAATGTTATTACTTGTTATATAAGAAATACAATATTGGCGAAGTTAATCCCGTTTTAATCGTTGCGAAATTATAATAATTTGTAGACCTTTTACTTGATACTAAAGAGACTCTAAGGAACTTTACTTGTATAAACAATTTTTATTATTTATATATTCTTTGTTGACCTTTGTATATATATATGTGTATGTATACGTGCGTATATCTGACATTTTATCAAGACATAAGATTTACCATAAATGAACGCCTGTCTGCGCATTGTGAAGCATGAGGTATTTTATATATGCGGCGGGATAATACAGGCTCTCTTGAGGCCATCGATTCCTCGTAAAGACAGCTTTATCAAGATTCATTTTCATTATAAACGAATTGTCGCGGGTAGCTCGCGACACAGGGAGTAACTTAACGTACGCGCGCGTAATATTCAACGGGAGTACTTAACGATACGGATTTTCGGTTTCGAGAATGTATCTGCAACAATCGAATGTATATTGCGTGACCCCCCCCCCCTCCCCCCGTTCGAAGGCAAACGCGAGCGTACGCGGAGCGATGTAATAGCGAATCGAGCAGTATTATAAGTCATGTACCATTAAGCTATTCGGATAATCGTTGTACTCCTTATGGAATTAGAGAATTGCACTGTAACGTAGGATGTATGCTTTGTCGAACCCTCGACTATCTCCGTTTTTAAAGTTCCTCGAGTAAGAGTTTGGACACCACTGCATTTAAACAATTTTTGACCGATCATATGTGTCGGGCTAACTACGCGAAGAAATTTATATTTTACTATTACCTTTTACAGATTTATTTATTACAGTAATAATAATATTTATACATATAAGCTATTGAATTAAATTCAATATATAAACTGTATATAGATACTAAACTGATTTAAACTTGTTTTTGAGAAGCGCATGGTTAGTCTGAAAATGACGGATGGTGTCTAAACTTTTGCTTGAGAAACTCGACTCTTCTTTTTTGCGTAAGACGACGCAAAGCATCGCAAATGCGAGACCACGCGATCGTCGAAGTCGAGGGAGTTACAATGGAGTAATTCAGGGAGCGCGTTTCTGCGTCTCCGCAGCGAAAAACGCGGCG